AATACCACAAGATGTCCGGATGTTATCCGTTCACCGGTGGCAAAAGGGAACTCCTCAGAGAAATCGGATCGTCAGATACTTTTATGACAATTAAAGACTACGGTAAAAAATATTTAAAAAAAAAATGTACATACAAATCCAGATACAATTCTATGTGTAATATACCACCATCATGCGCCACGATATTATTTTATAACGGTGTTGTTCGATTGTTGTGTTTTTAATTTTTACATTTAAATAATTCCTTTATTTTTATTTATATACTTAGGCGACTCGCGTACACAGTTTTGAAATTTTTTTTTTACTTTGTATAATAATTGGATTCTCGAAGTAGACTGCATATAGTATTATTGTTTTATTACCTGTCTTTGTTTTCATTTGATAATACGTGGGTATATTTTCTATATGATACCATCCATATTCTCTATTTCTACTTTTACTGGTCGAATTATTCTGCTTGCATAGCTGATTTGTAAACGCTTGACAATCGGACACCGTTTCTTTAGTTGGGTCGACTTAGTTTTGAAATAGTATTATTATTATTATCATATTTTATGATTTTTTTAAAAATAATATTGTAAACGAAACAATAATTTAGAAAAACCGTCGCACATCGATATTTATATTTTTTGAATAGGGACAACTGGATTTGATCTCAACATGAGGGCTGTCCATAACGAGTTGGCTGTTGTACACATGCCAAAACGTAAGGACGTTGAACTTAAATCAAATGTTTACAAACACTAGCACTGAAGTAGAATTGTTTAATCAATGTATATCATATATCCAGTTACGATCTGTCATCGGGTATAGTAATTTGAGAAATTCAATGTTATGGTATAATATACTGCAAAATTGAACATCGACGACAGTTGGGACCGGCCAAGTGTGGTTTTTAGTATATTTTAATCTGCGTAGGCTGCTTGTAACAATAGATGATTAGGCAATCACATCACGGTTATGACACAAAGATTTAAGTGGAAAGTATGATGCAATATTTTTTAGGGGACATGTCAAGCGTTGAAAAAAACGCATTAGGAGAGAGCGCCACTCCAAGTTTTAGGAGAAGAGTTTGCAAAAATGTGGGCATAGATTTTCCACAGTTTTGGTTAAATATCAAACGTTTGCTAGTAAAAACAAACGCGCCCCTTTAGGTTATTTGGGTTTGCTTAAAGATACTCTACTACTAATTAGGTGGTGTTGTGACGTCCTCTTGAAAGTTATGTTAATTTATTCGGTGTCAAATTTCAATATTCAATTTTGAGAACAATGAATGTTACTGGAAGTCTAATATTACTTTGTTTCCACTCGGGTCCACAATGTCTATACACTTATAAGTGGCTGCGCGAACTACAACTTCTGTTAGTGTTTGCCCCATTGTCTACAATTTGAGTTTCGACTAATACTCTGTCGAGTATTGATGAACATTTGTAATGCTGTATGTTTGCTACAATCAAACAGTAGTTAAGTCTAAACGTCACGCTAATGGCCAATTCGTCATAGATATTAAGAAAAATAAATTTTGTTGTTGTGAAATAAATCATCACCTTGTCTGTAATTTTCCATAGATTCTGTTGAGTTTTTCTTAATTACAATAATAATATACTACCGAGGACGATTAGTCATTGGCGTTTCGACGTAGCTGTTTTGTCTTTAGATGTTAATTGTTTTGTATCGTATAATAGCTACTATTTAAGCTTGAAATGCTATTTTTTATTTTTATCACAAAACTTGTAAAATATTAGCGAAAAGACATTTCTGCCTTTTGCGCTCCGCATCGAAGCTAATATAAAACTAATTGCATACAAATTAAACATATCTATGTATTATATTTTTCTGTGGGAGTTGCCCCAAATTTGATAAATTTGAAAGACAATATGTCGAGATCGTTTAAGCGTGTTGAAAAAACACAGAAAATATAAAGCAGGTAAGAGTGAGAGAAACTATTTTTGACTACAATTATTAGAGTGTAACTGTCCCAGGTTAGCGAATTCTTTAGGAAACCATTTCATGGTGGCAGCGATGGCTCTTCAAGGCTACATGATAATATTTTAGAATGTTTTTTTTTTTAAGCCAATCTTAATAAGTAAAATTATTAAAAAATAGACGCCTGCCTAAAGAGACGGCGGTTGTGGGTGGTCAGTGGTGTAGGCGAGGTAAAAAACACGAGACTGAATACTTCTTCAACAGGTACTTCATTGAGTATTAATTTTTTTTTGGAAAAGGACGCTGTTGTAGATAGATGATATTTTCTACACAAAAACTTAAACTAACGACTTGGTTTTGTTTGGCGTTTTTTTTTTCATTCCAGTCAATATTTGTGTTGACGCATACCTATCTAATGTAACTAAAATGGGTCGGACTTAGAACTGGATTATTGTCAACAGTTCTTGTTATAATATATAATTATGTAAATCATAGATGTTTGTTTAATGAGATAATAATTCTAAAAATAGAAATATAGGTGTTATTTATAGATTAATATAGCGTGGGAAAGTGGCAACGTGACACATAAAAACTCATCGATTGTTTTATTGAAATACTTCCGTTGTATTTAATAAGCAGTAGAATTATACGCGTATGTCAGTTGCAATATTATCCTCTTGGTGTTGTTGTTTATTGATACATAAGTTGTTTACACAAGACACTCCAAACTGATTTTTTTTTGTACAGAGTAATTCTTATAGGTCGTACGAACAAGCAGCGTTACCCTGTACATATTATTTTGTTTTGGCAACGTTTGCCTTGGTTTTTACCAAACACTCGGGACACCAGAGATTAGGTGAAATTTGTTATTTTTTTTTTTGAGTATTTCCTTTCGTATATTTCGATGGCCTTATCATTTCGTGTCTATTTATTCTTTTAATCCCATTCGAAGCACGTACTACGGTGGATCTGCCTAAGTGTTTACCCGTCGATAAAAAAAAATTGTTGTTTTGCAAAAAAAAATTTAAAAACGCCATCAGATGTTAGTACCGTTAGTCCGTTTCTACCACCAAAACGCGTTTTTTTGTCGAACATTAAAGTACTTTCTCTCCGCGCGATAACATGCAAAGTTTACGGAAATCTTCAGATCAGTTGTCTGACTTGTCTCCGGTGCACTACAACCGTCTGGTCTACAGTAATCAGTTGCAACACTCTAAAGGTATAATATTATGCACAAGGTACCCCAGTGGGTTTTTTCTTGATTAAGCCCCGAAAATGTTTGGTGTTTAGCCAAAACGATGAGTTTTTATCTGGTTAATGTACTCCTGGAATAAGTGTAGACAAGGTCAGGTTTATAAAAACGGTGTTTTGTCATAAGTCTGTTGCTATGGTATTTTATGCGTATGAGATATTCCACTACAAAATGTACACAATTCAACTTTTGCGTTTCGGATATTGCTAAAAACAAACAATTGTACCCCTCAAAATAATTGTTGGATTTTGAAAATTTTTTTACTGACGGAAAATCGAGTGACAATAAAAACCAAAGAGATAATATCGTTGTTTATTTATCGTGCAGATTTGCTTAAAATTACAAAAATATTCACTAATTTTTTTCAGCATTTTTGTTAGACGTACCATTAGCTATTTTGACACTTACGACACAAACATTTTTTTTAAATTTTATTTAAAAAAAAAATTAACGAGCCAACTTTTTGTATTTTATTTAAAAACAACGATAATTATAAAAAACATTTGTTTAGATATTGTAAAATTTGGAACATTGAACATTTGTTTAGAATTTTCACATATTCGCTGAAAGCATTATTGATTTTACAAAACATAATACACAATATGTTATATGTACATATTTAAAAATAGTCTAGTATTATTTTTCTCGAGTTTGTCTACACGAACATCTGTATTTAATGAGCATCGAACGCGCACATGTGTTAATGGATCATTTATATTTGTTTTTATACACATATTAAAAAATATGTGTATTTTATTTTATTGGCCGGGGAGGAGGTCTTTTAAACAACCGAAATTGTATTTCTCAGACGGTTAAAAGTGAACTTGCGCGCATAATTTCACATAAACTATGATGTCAAACTCTGCTTATGTAGAAATAGTTCAGATGGAAGATGTTTTCGGTATACTTGAATTCGATCGAGGTAATGCGACGGCGTTTGCTTATAAAAACAATATTCATCGTTAAAAATTACAAGTACATTTATTTAATTTTTAATAAACATGTGTAAGCTTATTTTGGACAACTGAAATTGCGATCCACGCTTGACTAACGACAATAATAGGTACCTCATTCGAGTGAAATCCTCATTCATTCAGTCTATAATAATAATAATCTTATACCTGTAATTGATCAATAAATGTCCAAATCTCGAGTTTGTTTTGACGATAAGTTGTACTTGTAGTTCCAACGTGTGTTGTTATCATTTTATTAATTTGGTCATAGTGTATAAATATTTGTCTGTATATTATAATATTCTATATTTACATCATATTATTATATATTGTAAATTAAGTCACCAAGTCGATGCTTAGTAACATCATAATAATTTTTATCATCAAAGTAGATTTTCTTATCATAAAATAAAAGAAGATTCACTTTCTGTGATAAGAAATATGCGATAACGCTGGGAAGAATAATAAAATTGATAATGGTAAATAATGAAAACATAGTACATACCAACAATGAACATGAATTCTGTAAACTACGAAATGTTTTTAAATTCACTTGTTGCTTACTAAGTGTTTAGTACCGATTATTTGCCGATTTGTAATTTCTTAGTTGTCTGTTATACGTCGTTTGTATCGCCAGACGACGATTTGTGGTATAATTATTAAATTTGTTTGTTTTAAATCAATATTAAGAGAGTGCCTGTATTAGATCGCCCTTTTGAATGGATTATACTGTCGATTCTGATGATACAGAACTTTTACTAGAAATAGGTACTGGCTTACTCTGTATAGCAGTTATGCTCTTAACGTTAATATATGAGTATCGTGCTAGCAACATAAAGATAACTGACCTATTTTTGTATTTGTTACAGATGCCAGTGAACGTGGACCACTCTTTACACAACCTCCATGGCAGAAACTGTTATTGATTTTCTTGGCCGAACTGATCGGAACGGCAATCTTGATGTTTTTCGGTTGTATGGGATTAATTCCGACCATTCCCGGAGGTAGTCTCGGGCCGTACAGCGGTGCGATTTCCTTCGCTTGCTCCGTAGCAATAACAATTGTCGTGAGTACATTGAAATACTGAATTTTTTTTTTAACATGCTAACCAATAACGACAGTTAATGTATTCATGATGTTTTGTTAAATAGATCATTGGGCACATTAGTAACTGTCATTTGAATCCGTGCGTTACGCTGTGCGCTTTATTATTGGGAAAAATACCTTTGATTTCGGCAATTGTTTACGTCATTGCTGAATTCCTCGGCGCGTTGATTGGATACGGCCTCTTAGTAGTAAGTAGTTAAGATTCAAAATGAATTAATCAATAAAAAAATATAAAAAATGGATGAATATTTAAAAATTGTTTTGTTTTTAGGTGATAACGCCTTATAACATGTTAGATGCTCAACTTAATGCTAATATTTGTGTAACAAGTCCGATTGAAAGTTTGTCGGCTTCGCAAGCGCTTTTAATCGAAGCCATCGCAACCGGTTGTCTTATGATGGTCGTGTGTGCCGTATGGGATCCTCGTAGCGGAAGCGGAGATTGTGCACCACTCAAGTTCTTGGCAGTCATTCTTCTGACATCTATGGTTGTTGTGAGTATATACTACGTATATTATTGTATTTGAAACCAAAATTAAGTTTAAAATTAATGTATAAATATTTTACAGGGTCCTTTTACTGGGAACAGCTTAAACCCCGCAAGGACTTTAGCGCCGGCCATTTACAATAACGCTTGGAATATGCACTGGGTAAGTGTGTTACTATAACAAAAAACTACATTTATAACCATTTTCATTCAATGTAATAACACATTTTTCCGAATTAGATCTATTGGGCCGGTCCATTTTCTGGTACAGTCGTTTCGACATTATTTTACAAATATGTATTCATGGCATTGGACAGCGGTGAACGTGGAAAATAAAATCAATATTCATTTGTAGTTTGTATACATCTATTGTTTACAAAAAAAAACGTGGCTCTAAATTGCCACCTCTGTTTCTGTAGTAATTTTAAGTTTTTTTAGCTTGTGTCCTATAGTTATATTATTTTTAATTTAAACTTGATTGAACTTAATTATGTTTAATTGTGAATTTTATTCATTTCATTTATTGATATATGATTGTATTTTTAAGTGTTTATAATATTATGAATTGTTTTAATTAACGGATTCTATGTACAAATATCAGGTTTTTCACTATATTAGTGTATTAAATACAAACAGTATTAAGCAAACGTCCTTGATTTCATAAAATAATGAACAAAACAAATTACCTACAAGCAATAATAAGTATATAAAACATAATCATATTATTTTTTATAACATTGCTGATTTTGTGTACTGTATTATTAAGTCAATATTAGTATTAATATCAGAAAAAAAATAGAAAATGCTATAAAACCACTATTGATAATGATTTTCTTCCGCCTCCGATTTTTTTTATTTACACTATAATTATGTGTTCGCAAAATTTGTATGTATATTTTTTTTTAACCGAGATTTAAAATTGTATACCGTGTGTACGATTATAAGAAATTGATTTAATAATTATTGTATAAGCAGTTTTGAGTATTCCATTAATATAGTGACAATCTAAATGATAAGTTGTATATCTTTTGTAACATGTGTATATTTATATGTCATTATTAGTTTTACGTGCATCATGACAAAATATTATAATCTGCTCAAATTGTGCCTATGGCAACTGTATGTAAATTATTACACTATTTATATTTTAAAACCATACATTTTGAGAGTTGTATTTTTATACTTAAAAGTAATATATGTTTTTAATTTTATTATATCCCTTGTCGTTTTGTTATTTTTGAAAGAAATCTAATTCCTATCTTAAAAAAAAAACACAAGTTTGTGCTTTCCCTATTATGTTTTCTCTTTTCGAACGTTTAATTTAAAGCGTCTTGTTTTTCACATTAAAAAAAAAATTAAATAAATAATTGGCTACCTACAATTATTATTACTAATTATGATTATATAAACGGTATTGTTTTTCTATTATTTTTAATTGTCATTTATTATCAAATATTTATTGCGGCGACCTTGCATTATGCAATCGCTGCTAGTAAGCAGCCATAACTCATAAGTCATTATACCAAGTTATATAATTTATGTACATGGTATATATATATATATGTATATATTATGTAAATAGTTTTTGTTCTATTTAATTCTAGTAGGTAATTGAAAACATTTTATAGTATGCTTTTTTTTTTTAATTTGTACATCAAACAAACGCTTTTATTTTAACAAAATAAATATCAGAATTTCATCACATGAAAAAGATTTGTTTGCTGAACGACTTTACGTTCAATGGTAACGTCCTTAGAAGTTATTGTGTTCGATATACTGTCCAATTTGGCGCCACCACTGTTGGTATGTATGTAAAAAACACATTTGAACATCTTTAGATTATAAACATTAAAAACTTATTATAAAACAAATCTTAATTCACATCTGCCAATTAAATTTAAACTATAGTTAAAACTGATTTATGACCCCACTTGAGTGTATTATTAACTTTTGATTAATTATATCATGCGAATTGAATTGAATATTTTTTTAAATGTAAGGTTTAGGGGTCAAGGTTTAAAGTTCAAATGGGCTAATAAAAAAAATAAAAAAATAATGACTGAACAAATAGTTTACACCAAAATTTAACAATCATTGTTGGTAGTTGTACTTAATATGTATTTCTATTATTATAATCATATTATTTAAATATAAAACATGCAAATTAACCCTTACAGGTATTAAGTGTTTTTCATTATTACATTTTTGTACTAATCTTTATCGATAGACGATATTCAACCCATTAAATATAATTTAATTCATTTAAATTGTATGATGTGTACCTTGTTTGATGTGGTACAAGGTAGCACTATCTGCTGTATTCAGAAAAATATTATTTTTGTTACTTGTAGCAAGTGAAATGAATGAACTCGAATTGTTGAGGAATAAAGTAAACTTTAAACAAACTCAAAGGATTAAATCTATAAAAAAAAAAATGTACAAATAATTGTGTAAAAGATATGGTTACATACTAATAATAATAATTAATAATCAAACGTTTATTATATTTAAAAAATTAATCATTTTGTGAACAAAAATTGTTTTTGAATGTGTTAAAAGCTTTTATGGATATTATCAAGTTGATAAAAATTGTATACATAGAAATAATTTGTACGTTATAGCTAATAATAGGTACGCATTCCTTTTGTAATTTATTATTATTCTTATCTGTCAAAAAGTTAACGTTATTGGACGTAAAAAAATAATGTCGTTCATTAATTATTATTTTGGCTTCGATAACATATCTGATATCTGGTAGAGATATTTTGTAGGTGATTATGATAAATGTCAAGTCCCTAGACCTGAAATAATCTTATCTTTTATATCCGAGCATTCCAACTATGAAATAATAACAATTACTATGTTCAAACGTCTGCAAAAACGACCTAAATACGTCTTAACTATTATCTAGATAAGTAAAAATGGATAAAAAAAAAATTAATTGAAATTTGTTTTACTAAAAAATTTACATTTTTGTTTATGTTAGTTTCGCCATAATTTATACTTTTGGGACCATTATAATGGCATTAGTTATATCTACTATATTTTGTACGAACTATAGCTTTTGGTGATAGCATTGCATTATTACCTTTATGTATATATATGAACTTAAATAATAATGTAGAATGTTTATTCTTAACGACTTTCGGTGTTGACAGTTGAAACTCGTTTGGATCCAGGTGATAATTATAAGATTGTTGACTGAAGGGGCCATAAAATATAACGGCTATGTTATCTGTGAAATAATTAAATCTATATAACATACCGAACGCAAAATTATAAAAATCCAATTTAAAAAAAATATGTGAAATTCATGGCAAAAAGTGAATAATAATTTAGCATATATTTTACTATATTTTTTACATTTGTGCTGTTTGGGAGGTATCGAAAAAATGTTATCAAAAGTTAGGCACACAATAGTCATTGAGAGAGATTCGTGTGAACAGTACGGATGGTCGAGGGTGGTAAACCTTTAGCCTTTAGACGTTGCCCGGTTTGCACTGCGAGGAAGCGGTTTACCATGCAAACCAATATACATACAATGCTTTAATAGATATTTGTATTTCTACCATCAACACATTAGCGTCGAAGCGTTTATTAGAAAATCATTCAATCGCTGTACTGGCTTTTAGCTTTCATTTGAATACAGCAAGGCAAAAAAAAAAAATAACAATAATTTATAACGAAAGGGAAAAGTCAGAATTACGTTTTTTTTTTGTATTTATAATATTTGATATTTTATATTCGACGAGATCAGAAGGAATTAGTTTTAATTTGTACAGAGGTTTCTTCGAGTCTGAAGACAACATAACTATTTTGTAAACGATCATATTTAGCACTGGCAAAATATAAAATAATATAAAAAAATGGTCGTCGTCGTCGTCGGTAATTTTTTCATCGAGACCTTCGTTCCATTAAGTCGGTGTACAATATTAAATATGTTCTTTTTAGTTCAATGTCACCGCATTCTCAAGCGATGGCGACGACACGGCCTATTTTACATTTCTTAAAAACAATTTACAAGATCAAATGTCGGTCATCAAACCGCCAGACTTGTACATACTAAATAAGTATAATTCATTAACCCGGCCAGGCCAACGTCCGTGCTGCAGCGAGGTTTTGGTCGTTTACGTTAATTGGTCGGACAATAAAATATCACCATTACGATTTATTATAAATTATTATAATGCCATAGTTTAAAAAACTAGACATTGACAAAAATAATAAGACAATATTCGACAAAACATAATAATATTACAGACTTGACAAATCCGTGGCGGAAAACCTAATGATAATTGATAACTGATAACGCTTATCACAAAACTATTATGCAGGTGCGCCGCCGTGCTGGTGTAGACGAATGGTGGAGGCAGATTTTGTCACTTCTTAGGCTCGGAGTCTCAAAAGTAGCTAATTTTTTAAGTATAAATCCGTGAAAAACCGACCGATCGACGTTGTTCAGTTATTAATTAGTTGTCGGTCCGACGACTCGACAGCCGACCGCGATTTTCCAACGGTCCGTTTTGATTTTGTCGTTTGGCCAAAGGGATTTTGTGGGAATTTTTTTTCTATCCGGCGGTAATAGGATACGAAAAACGTGAACAGGTTATCCGAACTCTTCAAGTGCAACAATAACATTGGTAATAAAAAATAATAAAAAACCGACCGAAAGCTTGGTGATATTCTCGTCGATTGTGATTTGCAACTTGCAACTTGAAACCCTAAAACTGTATTGATACACAGTTTACACTATTAATTGCAATTTGTAATTATTCCCCCGTTTATATAATTTGGACTTTCCAACGCCCATCTGCTGTTTGTCGATCCAATCCAAAGTGTGCCACATTCGTTTTATTTATTTTCGTGAGTATATCATTAAATTAAGTGACGTGTGTAATTGTTAAATATCGCCCTTATGCCTTTTAGTGTAATATTGTTATAAGCTGGTACATAATTGGTGAATACATTTTATTTGCTCTTAAATAAATCCGGGCAATGTAATTCCAAACGTTCCTTTATGTGTAACTACAAAACATTTACGTTAATTTTTTTCGCAGGTAAAGCGATAACCACCAGATAGACGTCGGTGTATCGCAGTTGATCTCTATGACAATTACGTCGTCCATACACCGCTGAATAATATTTTGAAAAGGAAGTAAAATAAGTAGACTGTAAAGTGAAAGGTAAAAAACATTTTCCCCTAAATATTACCATTGCATAATTTTTTTTATTGACAATGGTCGTTTTAGGTTCAAGACGTTATTATGCCATCGTTGAACTCTATAAGTTGTTTACAGTCTTTGGCGTTAGAACAAGTATGCGAGTATGTGTTGGAAGTAGCACCCGAAATGAGACAAGATCCAAACGGCTCACGTGAATATTTCATTAAAAACGCACACGCCTGGGCCAGGACAAATATCTTAAGCCGTACCAAGGAGAAACTGTAAGTGATTTGTCTTGGTAAAAAATGTTGTAATGATTAAAAACATTTCTTGTGTGCATATAGTGATAAAGGTGACGTAGATTGTCATATTTGGAACGAACTCATCGGTGTGTTTGATAGAAATCCCATTTTAAAAATAACAACTGCCAGACTCAACCGTTGGCTGACCTTATTGAATGTGATGTTGGACGTCGGGGTAACACGATTACCAGCACTATCATTTTGTGGCAGTATGGAAACAGAACTCAATGAATTTGTCACTGTTCTCAACAGTTGCAATACACATCTTAAGGAATTATCTCTGACTTTCCAGGTAAATGCTAGCAAAAAATTGTATTTTTATGCTGTGTCTCGTTTACTGGATGCATATTTTCCTAACGTCAATCTGGGTGGTTTGCGACCCTGGACAACCAAGGACTCGGATTCCTGTTAGGAATCTTGATGCCAAAACGGTTGACAATGTTAATTTTTTATTTTCAGATGTCTAATAAAAACGACTGCACCTCGGCAGTGTATAGGTCGATGTTTATTCTTCAAAACTCGTTGCACGACGGCCTCGCTTCGAAATTAGTTTATCTTAAACTCGCCGCTGTTTGTGATAATGCTATCCTAAGTACAATAGGCGAGAACGCCATGTGCCTTAAGCACTTGGACGTGTCCGGATCGTGGAATGTCGACGAAATAGGAATTAAAAATTTACTATTCAAAGTACTGCCGTCCAAATATTTTATATTTGATGAATAAATCAATAACTAAATAATATTATTTTCCTTTCAGAGTGATGTCTACGTGGAAACGATCAATGTACCTAACGACAAACTCTGTCAACATCTAAGCCAGATGTACGACAATAAAAAATTACTGAACAGATGTTGTTTTACTTTAGAAGAATTACGTATTCAAGACACCAACACCGAAGACGCTAGTTTGTTAATGATTCTAGCGTGCGTAAAAAGCCTAAAAGCTTTAGGCGGTTTCCTTTATTTTAGGTAAGAGATTTGTCGCAAATTCCAAAGTTCAATAGAGATTAACCGTGTTGCTTTTTAGGAATATCGGCGACGCTCTAGTGACCGTATGGGAGAATTCGCCTAAGCCCCGCGAGTTTCAATTGAACGAGCTGTACGACATGCAATTGACCAGCAAGAAAATAACGGCGTTAAAAGAATGTCTGCCCCATCTAAAGAAGCTGTATACGAGGTTGTCGTGTGTTTGTGCGCCTCAAGATTTCGACGATCCCGAACAAGGATCAATGTTCTGGGATCGTGTCCAAACTCTTACTATCGATCTCGATTACATGATGAATTTTCATTTTATCAATTTTGTTTACAATTACGGTCATAATCTATCCGAACTCGTGATTCTCGATCAGGTAATCAAGAAAAATAATGGTTAAAAAAAAAACAAAAAACATAAATCACTTCTATGTCATGTTTTAGGAAGCTGACATCGACGTAGGTAAACTATTGAGTAGTTGTCCTAATTTATTATTCTTGAAAGGATTCTTACATATTTTCGAAACGCCCATCGGACAATTTATGAAGCTTAAATCGTTTGAGTTACACATGCCGACTTTCGAAACGTTGAATTGGTTTTTTGAAAATTGTCCACAATTGGAAGAAGTTAAGGTAAAACTTGACCGTGTAGAAAATAGTTTGTTTATTCCTAAAAATAATACGTAAAAACATTTTGGGTTACAGTTGTTTAGCGACTCTAGAGTGATGTTTTGGAACACACAAGTCTTCGAAAAGCCACCCGAAGTCATGTGTAACAATCTGAAACGTTTCGAAATACATTTTAACGACAGAAATTCTAATGTCGTAAGTTTTACTCGTTGTTTACATAAAAAAATGTTGTTTAGATTTTAATTTTTTTTTTTTAATTTACTGCAGACTACTCATAAGGCAATATTCAAATTTATCGACAAGTGCACGAAGCTGCAACATTTGGGCGGTCTATTCACGTGGAGTTTAGATAATAATTTTGTTAATTTAATAAAGATATATGTAAAAAAAAATAACTACGAGCTTAACATCTACTAAGACTAAAACGTCTCAATGTGCTGATAAGACTGATATTTGTTAGATCTTTAAACTAACCTCTCCTTATTATTTACTCTATTGTTCCCATTAGTTTGACATAGTGAAGTATTTTTAAGATATTATTATATTTTATTATTTAAACTTAATACGGGCGGTTCAATTAAAATGCACCGAGTTACATTTTAGTAGTTTTAAATTCTAAATTGTTTTTCGATGTGCTACTTAGTGCCTTTTAATTGAATGTCGACTATTTTTAGATTAGATGACTACTGTGATGTAATGTAATAATTATTAGACTTTGTATATTATTTTCATAAACATAATATATAATAATAAAAATTTTAAAAAATTTAAGTATAAATGAATAACAATAACATTAGAATATTTATGTGTAAAAATAATTGCATGTATATTATTGCGACGATCCTATTGGCTTCCCCGATAATTTTTGGGCGAGCTTTTGATATATTTCATCATCTTCGTTCTCACAAAAATCGCACAAGTATGTAATCAGTCTTTCCTGTGAGAGTAAAATTGTAATTAGTATACGTACATATTACTTTTTTTTTTTTTTTATAGAATTTCAATGTTTTATTATAATATTGTATTAACTTGAGTTTTAGCGTCCATTGTTTTATGCTTTTTTGAAAGTTTCCAAAGGTTAATGGCTAATGTAGTCATTTGTACATCATTTAAATCCGCTCTGACAACGATATGCATAAACAGATTGAACGCTAATTTTGACTGAAAAATATAATACTTTTGTGAAAATCTTAATTTATAAAATTGATTTGAAGATTGTATACTTGATCATTAGTTTTGTCTGCTAATTCTTTTAACTGTTCGAGTATGCTGTCGACTAACACAGTACACATGGAATCTACATCGGCTACAAACTGAGGTTCTCTTCCATATAAAACGTCATTGGAATCAACTGGAATTATCAGAATATTAAGTTACATGATGAGGAATATAGTTTTAAATATCCAATATCATACTGACCATCTGGTATTCTGTAAGGATAAGTGTCCAATGTCGCGGTAGACAACATATCGAGTACGTACAAGTATAAAGAGTACGGTTGCATAGGGTCTGTCCATGAGTATTGTCTGATTGAATTGATCAGTACTCTTACCTGGTGTAAAACTTCTTGATCAGGACAGTCCTAGTGTATGGTTGTATATACAAAAAAAGAAAATATATAATCTGTAAATTTCGATATAAAATATAAAGTTTGCAACAATGTTTTACCGGCACTACAAGCAATATTGACAACATCTCTCTAATGTATGCAATCAATATCGGTTCGGTTTGAATTGCATGTCCGTCGATTTCTAAGGAAGTAGGAAAATCTCGTATAGTCATCGATGCAGCTTTGAAACAAGCGTCAGCTACAACAATTTGTTTTTTATTTTAAGTTTTAAAAAATTTAAATAATAACTAACAGTAAGCAAAAAAAAAACCCCATCAGTTTATTTTTGGTTTGAGTCCATAAATGTATGGTATTTACCCAAAAACATAGGCTTTAAAGAGTTTTTAAAACTCAAATTATATGATTAACCAGCTGATAATTGCACGGTTAACTACCTTGTCCTAAGCAACCGTTTAGCAATGAAGTTTGACCGGTGACCAAATATAGTTGCAGTTTGACGAGTGGCGATGTAATCGACGGTATTGTGATATAACAATATGCCGAGCAAGCCCGAGCAAATGAATTTTTCACTAGTACTCTCGAAGCCGACACGGATTTCACCATTAACTTGTTTACGCACTTGAGTAGCCAAACAATATCGATTAGTTAAGTTTTATAAAAGATGAATCTGTATGTAAATTACCTGTACGAGCGCAGCCTGAACGTAATCTAGCCTGATGAACGCTCCTCTGGCTTCCATATAAAAATTTAAATGCTTTTCTAAATCGTTGCCGTAATTGACACGAAAAATAAAACACGTGATGAGGCGACTGATTTGACGAACTTCATCTTCTACTGTTAACGAGCTAAACATAAATTCCATATGATTTATTGACATGTTAGAAAATTACTTTTACAATGAAGTAAACATACTCGATAGAATCGTGCAATATTTTGCACATGTACATCAGACAATCGTTGTTGACAGGATCGTGGGACTGGACGTGTTCTCCTCGTGTTCGATAAGCTTCCAATACCGTTTTGCAGCAAGCAGATTTATTTATGTCCGACCCGAACATATCCAAGTAGGGTAGAAGATGATTCTGCAAGAAATATCGGTCAACTCACAGCTACGACTGTTTAAAAAATGATAATAAATCAATAAACCATTTACCATGAGGAACACGTTTTCAAAGTCTTCAACGTAATTGAGCAAGTGCTGTAAAATATTGTGAAGTTGTGTGTGAAATCGTTCGATACCCACTCGGTTGCTAAGGTGTCTTGTTATGTCGCTCATAAATAGATTTATTTCTTTGTTCTAAACAAGTACAACACGAGTGTGAAGACAAACATAGCTATATTTTTATGGTTCTCAAAATAACCATACCTTGAAATGTTTTACAATAAAATATATCCACGCTTCGGCGCATCCCATGTAACTTTCGGCGTCTTTAACTTTGGTGACTAGTTTCCAAGCTTCTCGGAGCACGTTTGGAGCATTAGGCACGACGTGCCCTCTCAAACTCGTACCCAGGTTTTGAATGACCACCGTCTGCGGAAACACTGAACACACAAAAAAAAAAAAAATGTAAAACAAAAACTTAGACTTGTGTTAAATTAAAAATATGATTAACTATTGTATTTATGTTGTTTTTTTTTTACCATCATATTGCCAATTGGACACTATAATCACCAAGTATTCGGCTTTTTGAGCGATATAGTATCCAGGGAATGTATTCACTATGGTGTTGAGAAGAAGACCACTAAAATCATAAACGGCATACATTTTTATATACACTAAAAATTAGCGTATTAATGTCTTACTTGAGTTTCTGCAGCGTGCACCACTTTAAAATCTCATCGAGTTTAGGCGTATCGAGGGACGAACACAATCCTCGGACTATCCATTCCAAAGCTGGACACAACAACTGAAGGTATTTTTCCATGGACATACTTCGAATTTGTACTTCTTTGGACACATATTTGCTACTCAACTAAAGACCACCACACTCGTTTAGAGTTGCCCGTAACTACAATTATTTACTAGTTGCTGAACCTGTTACCTGTTTATAAGTCAACAAAATATCCTTGAAACTTTCTTCGAAGTAATTGACATTGACTTTTATTGTGGCGCCGACTCTACACAAATAACAACGTGCATACCATGCCACTAACGGATTGCCTATACCTCGTACCATCTTGATCAATCTCATTATAGCTGCGCTTTGTTGACTTTTGCAAAAAAAAAAATAAACAATTATACATTTTATGACCGGACTTAATGTTTACAATTGAACCCACTCGGTTTTGATGAACTGGTAGCTACGTAAAATTGCGGCTTCAATATACAACCGAGGTATGAGCTCACGAATAGATGCGATTTTATAAAACCAATTGCGACAAGTTTCTTGGGCAGCTATGGGTATCATGTTTGGAGTAAAGTTAATTGGAAGTCTTATCACTTGACCACTAAAACGATGTTAGAATCAGTCAAAAAACTAATTTGTTTTTTTTTTTACTAATGACTACGTACTCAACGACTTCAGATTTAGATTTCAGTCTATCGTAAACTAGATTGCCAAACAAATCCAACAAATCGGTCACTAATACAAATTTACTTGGATAAAACTGCAACGGAGACGTGTAACTTAATATTTTAGTACACTGAAATAAAAAAGAAAGAAGTAGGCTTTAAATATTGTCGTAGGCAAGTTATATTGCAATTATTTACTCAGACCTGAATGATTATTTTCAAAGCTTTCACTCGTTGCTCGTTATTCCATGCGTCCACAATTTCTCTACTTAAACTGTCCATATGTGTTACGAACTCTTGTTGTGTTAGATCACATAATTCTTTTTCCGAATAATCCAGCTGATCCTCAAACTCTTCTAGTTCTTCAAGCCTCGATCGTATAGTAGCGCTCTGTATGGTTTTTGAATCTAAAGTTATACACAACATTGAATTATTAAAGTGATGCAAACAAAATATTTATGTAACAAATTAACTCTTGTTAATAATGTTTCTATAAGTTTTTGTGTTTGCTTACAAGACTTAAACGATAACTTTTCAGACGTCGTGTAGTTGTTTAAAATATTTTGTTTGCATTGAGACCACGATTGCAAGTTATCAGATAAACTGAAGTTGGACTCTTCGAAATCGACCGGTGTCAGTTGAGTGGGTCGACTGAGTGGATCGTCCCCATAAGTAATTGCAGAATCGAGTGGATCGCTAAAAGACTCGTCTTTACCTTTGACCTATAATATAAATACAAACATTTGAAACTGAGGATAATTGGGTTGTGTAAAAACCATAGACATTGGACTTTTTATTGTTATTGAGAAATAGCAAAAAACTAGTAATACGATTATGAACTTGTTATTGATTTTATTGTGTAGACTTTGATTGATGTTTAATACTTTCCATTACATAGATTAGCATCAGTGTTTTTTTTAACACTGACCCAAAAGTATTATATAATGACTTGCTTTGTTTCTTAAAATAATAATTATCAGGGTTGGCCTGGGGCTCCAGCCGCATTTGCGGCCCTAGCCAGGCCAACCCTGATAATTGTTCAAATATATTATTTAAATATGTATTTTACATACCACCGGTGGAGTTAAAGATTTCAATGGATGGTCAATACTACATTTTTCTAGTATACATTTTTTCTTACGCTTTTCGTAATTGATAATCGGCTTGCTACACCTGTAATCAGAATCATTTTTTTCTATGACAAACGAAATGTAACAATTAAAGAGTCTTCTATAGAAGCTAGTATGAAATTAATTCTCTAATAATGCAACTTGTGAGTAGAATCGGCAAAAAACCAGGAAATGTGTAGTATTTATCCAAAATAGGGGTTTTAATTAGGTTTTTGCATACTCATAATAACTTGGGTATGTTGGATTGAGCTAAAAAAAAACCCAGGTTATTGCCAATACTGACTTGTATTACAATCAATTTTGTAATTCTAATAACAACAAAACAAACATATTATGAATAATTTGTCAGTTTAGTGAAAAAACATTTTACGAGTATGTGTAATTTGAAAAGTATAATGATGTTGGAACACAGATATTCGTGAACATCAAACAATCTTTACATAATTAACTGAAAAATAAACGATTGCATAACAAATATATTTTTTGTAATTAAAAATAAACAAATACCTACCAGTTCCATTCAAACGTTTTTGACATTGTTTACTCAATGGTTATTATTATTTTTTTAATTATATACAGACTTATTTCAATAATAACAAATTTTTGTACTGTACTATTAATGATATAAAATTAATAACAAACTTGAAAATAATTATTATTTTACAGTGCACATATTTTAAAGTAATTTGAAGTTTCAACTATTTGTTATCAATTATTTTAAAATACAAGTCAAAACGTTATCAGTAAGTCGACCGGTTATGGTTCATGGAAAAGCCAACATTATCAATAACATTTGTCTTTTCTTTTTCATGATAATTGTGTTAGGGTTTATCTCTTACCAATTTCTTAAACCCTGTTAATTTCATAGAGATGAAAATTTCTTATCTCTATCGAAATTGGGAAAAATTGAAAATTGAAAATACTCAAATCTTAATTACCTATGGTGTGTCCAAGTGGACGGTTTGAAAATTGAATTATTTTGTATATTTTAAACCGCGGTCAAGTGTTTAGTTTTCAAAATGGTAAAATAACCTTTGAAAATGTTGTGTTTTGCTGCAACCAGATTCCGTGTAAATCGTATTAACTTTAGCAGTGTTTTCTGTTCGACAAACGATCAAAGCTCGTTGTGGATTATTGATCATTACGCGGTATAAACATTGTGTTAATTGTTATATTTGATAAGTAAAAAACGCTACCTTATTCGTTTTTGAGTTTATCAAAGAATTACTGTCGAAAATGGGCACATCGATTGAAAACCTACGCAATGTTTGTAGACTTTGTGCAAATACACATGAACAAATGATACCAATTTATAATGCAGAAGGTCTAGAACACGGTTTGGAAGTAAAAATCAATTCATTGTTACCATTTATTTCGGTAAGTAAATTATTATATAAAGTTTTTATTAACCATACATAATCCGATAATATTTTATACTTTTTATAGCTTTCAAAAGGACGTAATATATTGCCAGATCAAGTTTGTTACACGTGTGCTTCGACGTTGCTCGTCTTCAGTGACCTCTTAGAAAGAAGTATGAAAACAGATGAGGATTTCAAGCTTATGTTGTCTGACATTATAAATAAAAATAAGGTATGTTCAGAGTAATAAATTAAATACATTCGATTTATTTAAAAAAAAAAGCTATATTATAATTTGACTTCAAAACTACTCTCTATAGAATTAATTATTCTGTAGAAACTTACTTCATTGGACTTTGTTTTTTGAATATTGGTAGTATTTTTTGTTTTTATTAACTTTTGACAGATTCAGAATCAAAATATAAAACCGATTAGGTTTGTTTGAATAATTTTCAGTGTAATAGATAAAACAATTTTTCGAAGTCTAACATTAAAAATACATCTTTACTAAAACAAAAGATGCATCTATCAATTTTTATTTTTTTAACAAAATCTCTAAAGTGTCTATTAATTTATACATTTTAGCTTTGATTTTTTTTTTTTTTTTATCATATGGCGTATGTGACAAGGAGTAGGCCTTTTCAGGCCTAGTCCGGTTGCCGGGTGGGGCTCATGACATTTCTGCCATGGTTAGAGAGGGGGAAGGATGGCAGTCTTTTCTCCTAGACAGGTTGTCCTGCCCATTGAGAAAGACCGCCCGTGGCCAGATTCAAACCAGCGACAGTGCTCGTCAGCATCGCCATCTTAATCTACTCAGCCACTCCACCTTCCCAAATTTATACATAATAATGTGTATCTTAAAATTGAATATGTTGTATTTTATGTCTCAATTTTACTATACATATCTCTTAAATTAGGCCAGCAAAACAAACAAGAGAAAATCACAAGGAACTAAAGTTGTGTTATACACGAGAAGACCTCTTAACAACCCTACCATTTTGTCCATTAAACCGATTACTCAACCACGCATCGTTGATCAAAAGCCGAGTAGTACCTCAGTTGTGAGTAAAATAATATAACATTGCAATGCATATTCTAAACTATTTACTTTTACTAATGTTTAAATTTCATTTTTAGCCTAACCAATCCGGGGTTTTGACTTTCAACAAATTCACTTCAAATGCAGAAAGGTAAGATATTTTCGCTCATTACCGTCTGATACGGTTAATTTGAATTAATAATTCATTTTAAAATAAATACCGTGTTTTATGCCCATAATGTTTTAACGCTAATTAAAATATTATAGGCATAAACTTGAAAAAGTTAAAATACATTTATATAGTTTGTACATAGCGTAGTGAATTTGATATTTATATGTGGAAAATGTTCTAAAAGGATTGATAGCTTGTAACCAATGATTATTTGTACAAGTTATTTTTCATAAATTAAATTTAATCAAAACCGGGTAAATTTAACAAAATTGGTCGCATCTGTAAAAAGTAAATAATAATAATAATACATTTTCGAATAAAAATAATATAATTTTCGGGTTGCAATGACGTGCAATTACACGGAGTACTTGTGTTGAAAATTTAAGCGATGAAAACCAAATAGGTACAAGTGATATAAATTTTTTTTTTTTAAAGTTCTTGATCTTCAATAATTCTATCTGTATTTATTTTATAATTTTTTTAAAGAGATATTGATGAAATTTAATGATTATAGAATTATAATTTTCATTTTGCTGTCCTGTAAAATGTTGTTAAAATCACTTATACCATTTTGTTTCTCTTTACCTTAAATTTACTATCTAACGTCTTGTGATTAATTTACAAAAAACAAGTTAAAATAGCAGTTTATTATGTATTTACTCTATGGTTACTTTATTGTACAAAAAATTGAATTAACATTTAACATACAATTGGGTTATGCACATTTTGAAGAAAAAAAAAATGACTTGGGTCGGTCAATTAAAGAGTAATTTATCAATTTAATGTAAATTGATGATTCAGTTAAAGATAACAACAGCTTGAAAAATCTCAAAAACTACTGTATTTAGCAGAAAACATTTGTTATTATTATTATTTATTATTTTTGAGGAATCGGTAAAAGAACGAGTTAATTTTACAAAAAAACGAGGAAAAGAATAAACTATTCGAACAAATATTTAAAAGTGAAACTTAATTTATTTTATACGTGTCTTTATATACGTTTATTTATTTAACACACTTTTATGCTCAGTTTATTTTTTAACTCTTTAAACCTTTCAGTGCATTTAGGGATTTGTAAAACTATAAAAAAAACCATTATTTGGTTATAATTTTTCCATTGACTTTTAATGCTTCTATTATTGACTTTATATATTGCATTAGATTAAAGTAACCTTAAGGAGTTATAAAAAATTACAATAACCTCTTTAATGTTTTTCTGAAAATATTTTGATTAAGCGTAAAAGTTATTACTTTTTTTTCCATTAAAAACAAAATTGTGTTTCATTAGAAACTCGGTCTGGGTGTTGGCTATCAAGAAATGACTTGTTGATAAATAAAAATGATTCCATTGTAGACATTATCATAATATTATATCGTACAACAACGTGATATTAGTGATGATTCTTGTGTCTAGTGGTCTGCAGTAGCAGTGTATTTATATTATTTAAAGAACGTGGTTCTGATACTATCACTTAAGCAGGTGTATGATCAAAGTTTGTCACGTTACTTAAAAACTTTACAGTAAGAACAGTAAAAGGAGTATCATAAATGTTCATGCGGGTAGGGGACTGATTAATGTAAAAGAGCGATGGTAGAAGGAAAAGGGAGTTAAATATCTGAAGGTAAACTGAAAGAATTTTTTGGATGTATTTATATTTGAGTTTTGTAAACCAAAAAAAAAAGCAAAATGTGAAAAATTGTAAATATCAATCTAAACCCATAGAACCATATAAAAACATTAACCTATAAACGGGACTAAGGCAACTTGCTTTAAGAAACTTTCTAAAGAGGACTGGGGACACTCCGTTGCATCTAAGCATCTAACCAGGCCTGCACAAGCCACATCCAATGTTAAAACTTAAACCGAACAAAAAAAAAAACTTTTCTTTACTCTTCTATCTCTTTGATGATACATGGCAATGTCTTGCCAGGACGTGTGTAATCGTTATACGGTCGATCGATTTATTGGTTTCTTATCGTATCGTATTTGTTTTGTATTCAAATTGTCGTTTAGTGCATTTTTTTTATTTAAAAATAAACTCAACCGTGGAAAGAGGAGATGTCAACTATAGTGTGCCGTTACCCCTTGTATTTTTTTCAGGTTAAAAGAACTTCCACTAAAGAATGTCACACAAAGTGACCAAAACAAAAACCCTATTCAACAACAACCTTTGAGTGCAACAAAGTCTCTGGATAACAAGAAAATTGACCTAATCGATCTGACCATTGATCCTTCCAAAGAATCGTCAGACAAAAATGTTAGTACGGTCCGAGTACCGTGTATTAAAGACGACAAAAAACAACATAAGAAGAAGAAAAAGACTGACGAAATCAGGTGTGTTGGAATTGGGAATGCGTTGTCAGGTCCCCGTGTCTGACTGCGGTGGATACCAATACTTTGACTTTTGAGTTTGTTTGAACATAAAATATACAAACATTGTTCTGATTTTATTCACTGGTGACTTTGTTGTGATCACATATACGGTTACTGTTGCTTATTGTAGGGGTCGTAACTCTTTGAGGGGATCTAAATCAGATCACTTATGACTAACTCTGTCTTCTGTGAAATAGTGAGAATAATATTATAGTGTAACAGAGTACTTACAGTTTAAATTTATCAATGAGGAGATTTTAGAAAGCGGTAAAGAATCGGTTATGATTGGAGAGCAAATGGTGAATACAGTAGAAACATTTAAGTACTTGTGATCGGTTATGCAAGAGAATAGTGGACTTGAGGACGGTGGGGTGAGTAAAATAAAGTGTGAGGTATGGCAGGTGTCGTATGAGCTGCGGACAAAACCAACAGCAAAGGTGTTTTGTGGCATAAATGTGTCATTCATAGTGAATAGTAAAAATTGTATAAAACGATTATGGAAAAGTGTTGGACACTGAATAAGAGGTATGGAAGCGATTAAAATGGAATTGTCAAGGTGGATGTGTGGAGTGACTAGGTAGACTTAAAGGTAAAGCAAAGAAGATGTAGGTGTGGATGTGATAAGTTATTGTTTAAGTTTTGCACTAATATACGTTGCAATGATCCTTTGCCGGTAGATTAATATGGTTTTGAATCTTATGACCCTTGAACCGGTAATCCGGACCCTTCGTGGACTTCATTATAAACATGGTTGTTTTTCAGATACCAACCGTCGCGGCACGAACGTCCCATGGCCGCCAGTTCTCCTGTTCCGCGTGACCCCGTTAGCGTGCCCAACAATCAACCACAGCCGTCCATAATCGACCACACGTACACAATGTGCCATCCGAAATCTGCCGTCGCCCCGACGTGGTTGAACTGCGAAAAGTGCAGTAGGAGGTTCCGCGTGGCCCTTCGGCTACGAGAACACTTGGCCAAGTGCAACGGCCGCGGCAAGTCCGGCGTGAAGAAGTACGACCGGCGCACGTACGACAGGTTCAGAGTGGAGGCGGACGGGGAGGTGTTCTACAAGTGCAACCTGTGCAACTACTGTTCGACGTCCAAGAACAACCCGACGTGTTTCGCCAACCACTACCGCAGACACACGACCGGGTTCGATGTCAAGTGCGTCCAGTGTCCGCGCAAGTTCCGCACCAGGGCGGCCATGCAGCGGCACGTGGACGTGGTGCATCTGGGCCGCAAGGATTTCCAGTGTCCGGTGTGCGGCAAGACGTTTGCCGAGAGGAACACGCTGAAGACGCACCTGCTGATACACACGGACGAGCGGCCGCTGGTGTGCCACGAATGCGGCAAGCGGTTCCGGCACGTGTCCAAGCTGAATGTGCACGTCAGGTTCGTGCACAAGAAAGAGAAGAACATCAAGTGTCCGGAGTGCGGCAAAATGTACTGCACCGGCGAACAGCTGAGGAACCACATGAGGCGGCACGCCGGCATCCGGGAATTTGTTTGCCAAGTGTGCAACAAGGGTTTTCTCACTAGAAAGACCATGGTGGAGCACGCGACCACCGTGCACGGTAACGCCAGGAAGTACGAGTGCTCCATTTGCAACAGAGCGTTCAAGGCCAAAAGGACGTTGATTACGCACATGAAAACGCATAGGGTGGTGGGTCGGACTGAGATAACGCCCGACAAGGAGGAGGACCCGGCTTAGCCTTCAAATGCTGACCGATTTTTGATGTTTGATCCATAATCATGTGTTATTTAGGGAGTTTTCACATAACCAGAAAACTATCTACAGTATTGGTTGGCAAATAACTTTTAGTGTTATTTCTGCCAAGTGATACCGTGTATAGTTTTCAATTATGCAATCACTCCTATTTTAATTACCTATTAATATATATTGCTATACCTACGTTTAAGCTGTGTGTCTTACTCTTTATATTCTTTAAAAATATACTGTTAAGTTAAATAATAAGCTTTAAAAATAAACTGTTGTGGTTCTTGTGAACTTTTGTGACCTATAATAATTTGTGTACATTTTAATTAATAAAAAACAAATAATAGACAATAACATGATAAAATATAATGGCGATCCCGTTGATCACTTTGTTTGCTTTCATTAAATCACTTTGATTAGACGTCAATTTCGGTTAATATTTTCAGTTCCTTAAAGATCCAAAGGTTCTATTCGAGTGTTTGAAGATACTTTAGTGTAAACTAGGTAAGAGTTATAGTTTCCATTGGGTGCATATTTACGAGGGAACCATATGGTGGTAGATTTGTGACAGTTTTTTTAAACATACTAAAAAGTCTTGTATATGAATACAAAAAATTCACAAAAGCAATTTATAACTCTGAAGGTACAACATAATATAAAACTTTTTTTTTTTTTTTTACAAGAACCAAAATAACATTGCCCAACTGGGTTATACAGGAACATTGTGATTAACAATTAACACAAATTATGTCCATGCGTCAATGTAGTGTACTTCTACTTCTACTATCTAGTGACAACAGAAATATTATATTTCCTGTGTACATAACGTATTAATTGGTGCGTTAATTAGGTTTTTTAAACTAACCGGTACAATACTATACTATCGATACCAGGGCAGGACAGGCTCGCAGGAGAAGAGGGATTTTCTTTGTCTATATTTATCTCGAGGGCGCCCAGGGTACCACTAAATTGTTGTTTAATGAAATTAATTCAACATGTAGGTAGGTATAACTAAAATTATAGATAAATGTTATTTTTTAACAATTTGATAAGTGTTTTTAATTTCTTGGTGAAATATAATTTATACACTAACGCCTGTCCTGCCTTCTACGTAGTATGCTACAAGTTCCTTCTTACTATTTCAGTCACTCAGAGTGAGTGTGGTTTCTCTGAAACTAAAATGCCATGTTAATTCATACTTGAGGAGTACTACCTACCTTGTCAAAAGACCCATTATACAGTTGTTTTATGATTATGTTGTTTATCGATAAAGGATTGCTGAACGGTGTAGACTAAGGTGGCTAATAAGAGCAGTGAAGCGTTAACAAAATTAGTATTTTTTTTTGAAATAAAATAAAATATATTTTGAACAATATCATTTGTATTATTATTATTATTATTGTTATAGTTTCTCTTTATCTTCTAGTTTTACCGTTAATCGATGGCCCCTTTAAAATATTTCCCTGTAACAAAAAAAGCCTATCTACTGATCGATTACTATGTACTTAGAGGGTCTTTTTTTTTCTTTTTACAGGTCCATCAACGTCTTGGGTGTTTTGAAAGAAGAATATGCGGACGAACACGCAATAGACGATGTCGTGTTCAAGTGCAACGAGTGCGGACAGGGTTTTTTGCGGCATAGTAATTTGATGGCTCACCAAAGCAGTGTTCACAAACACAGCGGCGGCAGATGTCCAACGGTGGATTATAACAGAGCCGCCGACCACAAACAAACGACTGGCGTCGATTCGCTGGCGGACAAGACGTGCTCGGTGTGTTCCAAGACGTTCACGCGGGTCTGGGACAAAAGGAGGCACGAGAATACCGTGCACGGCGGCGATTCGGCGAACAAGGACCACGTCCAAAAAGGCGACTATTGTTGTAAGATATGCAAGAAAGTGTTCGTCAGCAGCGCGGCGAGGTGGAGACACGAGCGGCGGACACATCGCGTTAACGTGACCAACAGGTTCTATTGCGCTTGGTGCAGGAGCGGGTTTCGCGTTAAGAACGAACTGAGCGAACATCTGACGGCCGGCGGCGGCTGCCTTGGAACACGCCGTTCGCGAACTGATTTGGACCGGTACCGGGTGATGGTCGGCGAACAGGCATATCTCAAGTGCGACCAATGTGCGTACCACGTTCGGGACAAATGTAAGAGCCGGTTCCGGGAACACGTTAACATACACGCGGCGGACGCGCAGATCAAATGTGACCACTGTGACCGCATGTTCCGGTTAGACCGCAGCCGGAAGCGACACGTTGCCGTCGTACACATGGGTATCAAGAAACACGCCTGCCGGTTCTGCGGCAGGCTGTTCAGCGACAGTAACATGCTGAAGTCGCACGAAGCGATACACACGGGCGAGAAGCGGTTCGTGTGTGACATGTGCGGCAAGTCGTTCCGGCAGAAGACCACGTTGAACCTGCACGTCAGGTTCACGCACAATAAGGAGCGATCGCACGTCTGCCCGCACTGTCCCGCCGCCTACTTCAAACGCGGCAAACTTCTGGATCACCTAAAGGCCCACGACGGTATCCGGGACATACCGTGCACCAAATGTTCGAAAATGTTCACGACCAAGACGAACATGTTGTACCACGTCAAAGTGGTGCACGCCCAAACGAGAGAATACAAGTGCAACATTTGCGACCGCGACTTCAAGTCTAGGAAACATCTTGTACAACACGGCAAGACGCACAGTCGACGGCCCGCCTTGGAAGATAACCTCGAACCCGTCGTACTCAACACTTAACTTCTTCAATAGACTGATTGAATTCCAATAAGTCACATAATTCAACTATATACCATGCAATAATAAAGTAATAATTCTCGATAATAATTAATTATTCTTTTGTGTAATCATTTTATTTACTAGAAAAAAAAAAACACATTTTTTTCGTATTTAGCATTCAAATTTTTTTTTACAAACAAATGCATATGGTTTTTCATTGGACTAATTATATATTTTTGATTGAACTAGTCTCAAAATTATGGCTAGTGCTTTTTACTTTAATACTAATTTAATTGTAGAAATCACAAGTTCTTATTTAATGTAAAAAACCTAAATGTATTAGTTGAATACATAGTGATACTAACCGAGACTTGTTTTTTTATAAAACTTCATATTTTTCAATTTTAGTCCGGCAGGAGTGCTATTTTGTAAGTCACTGTAATGGTTTAAATAATCTCCAAGAAAACGGCACACGTCCGTTTTATTAAGCGTAACACTTGCTATGTTTTTACTGTTCTAATTGGCTTCGAATTTCGATGCATAGCTGAGAAGGTATTATTTTACACTATAAATTTGACTGATGGTAGATCTAGAGTAGGTCTATAATTTAAATTTATAAATCACCATAGATAAGTAATATGAATAATATTAAAACGGTACGGTTTTGACCTTGTTTCTACCGAAGTGACTTCAAGTAAATAAAAAAGGAAATTTTATTTTATTTTACTAACCCACAAACTGTACAACAATAATATTATATGAATGTAAAACAAACTCAATAAGAATAATAATTACAATTCTTTAGTTTTTCTTTTTGAAACATTTTTTTTTAGTATTTTCTAGAGCTCTGCAGTGGCGTGTATAGCGGAGGGGTATGGGGGTTCAACCCCCCCCCCTCACCTTAAAACTTAAATATATGTTGTTAATTTTTTAAATCAAGAATGACTTTCACTCCACCTTCCGTCTTAAATATTTTAAAACTAAATAACTTGAAAAACTATTATTCAAAATCGATTAACGACCAGTCGATAGTGCAGCTAGATACACACACATATTATATACCTTCTTAAACGAATATATTTTCAAATTCTACACCGAGTTAAAACAGACATAAAAAAAAAAAAAAGTGATAACACGCCATTTTCATTTAAGTCAATACTTTTTCGACACGTACCTAAACTGAAATGGCACAACCCGTGGAAATGCAACTAGTGGAAATGCAAAAGTAAGTGCATCTTTTCTGTCTGTTGAGAAGAGTTTTGTTTATATTTTCAGAGACGTACATTGTAATAACGTGATCGACGAGAGTGAAATGTCTGTTAAAACATGTATTATGGTATGTTTACTGTGTTATTTCCCAGTAGCGCAAATGTACGTATTCAGTGATGATCAGGTAATGGATATTTTTCGTCAACTTTAATTTATAACGCGATTTACCTTGTAAATTTAACCAATTTTAAGAATATAGTCTTAAGATTTGGTTTACTTGTGATTGATGAAATATTAGAATCCCAGAAACTATGTGCATACAGTGCACGCCAAAAGTTTGAAACAACAATTTTTATTTTATTTTATGCAAACAACTTACTTTGTTTACACGTAGTTTTGGCGTGTACGTTTTCCGGTTATTCTTAATTTATTATATAGTAATCGTATAAAAAATAAGAGAATGTGTTTTTGGCAAAGTTTCAACATTTAAGTACATTAATCACCTTTTTATAATCGATTGACACAATATTATTTTAAATAAATTGTTTACTTGATAATTATTATTATATTATGTCGGTTGTCAGTGAATACAGTTTCAGATTATAATAGTTTTTTTGCTATCTTAATACAGCGGTCCCTCGTTAGCAAAGAATGTATTGGTTTCCCGTTTGTTATAGCCACTATGGTTCAAAAATACAATAGTTATACATTATTGTGATCGAATGTAATTGATTTAAAAAAAAAAAAACTTTTCAGCTGGAAGGACTTTTTAAATCGATCGACGTGAATAACCTAGGACTAATCTCCATAAGCCAACTGGAGCAGAATAATATAAACCCGTTAAATGGTAAGACGACAAAACGTTGGAGATTAAGAGAAAAAGAAACCGCTCTTTTTGGGATTCAACATGAAAAAATACACTTATTTTTATGTTAATAATAATTTTCCTTACGTTTATCAAATTGTTACTCGTATGTTATAACTGTTGTTTGTGTTAGGATTTTTAATTTAACGCTAAATGTGTAATTTATGGTTTCCAGAGCGAGGACCGTTTATAAATGTTGACCAATTTAAAGAGCTAGTGCGCAAGCAACATTTCATGATACAACGACATTTAAAATCTAAGTCGGCGGTTATCGCAGAAGACACAGGCGCGACATCATCAACTGGTCGTTCATCGTTACAACAGCCACGCGTCGACACAACCTTAAGTTTATCTTGTAAGCCACCAGAAGAAAACGTCGATACGACTTTGAGGTTATAGCTCCTTCGTCGTAAACACAACATTGTAAAAGAAATGATTAATTGCTAAAACGGTCTGGCAACCGCAGAGAAGTAATTTATACAAAATAAAAACATAGCCGGCATACCTTTATATATCTTAATAAATTATGATTTAACAGTGCTTTCCAAGTAAAATACATAACAATTATTGTAACAGTAAATATTCAACTATTATTTTTGTGTACTTATCAATGTCAATAAAAAACATTTGAATTGCTAATTAATTAAATGGACAACAATTTTCATATCGCCTTATTGTATTATTTTCGAACGCACGATTAAGGTTAGTTATTCGTTGAACAGTGATTCCTAATAAAATTACCCAATTAAAAAAAAAAAAAACATTTCTTTTTTTTTTTAAAACACATGCATATTGTTTTTTATTGGACTAATTGTATATTTTTGATTTAACTAGTCTCAAAATGATGGCTATTGATTTCTTTTTTAATGTTACCTAATTCAAGAGGAGTAATCACTAAATGTTACACTAATAATGTTAAAGTTCTTAATTAGTTGAATATAGTGATACTAACCGAGATTTGTTTTTTATAAAACTTCATATTTTTCAATTTTAGTCCGGCAGGAGTGCCATTTTGTAAGACACTGTAATGATTTAAATAATCTCCAAGAAAACGGCACACGTCCGTTTTATTAAGCGTAAAACTATGCTATGTTTTTAGCTATGTTCTATATTAGCTTCGGAATTTTGATGCATAGCTAAGAAGGTATTTACAATATAAATGTAACTGATGGTAGATCTAGAGTAGGTCTATAATTTAAATTGATAAATCACCATAACATGAATAAGGTAAGTAATACGAATAATATTAAAATGATACGCTTTTGACCTTCTTCCTACCGAGCTGACTTCGAGTAAATAAAAAAGGAAATTTTATTTTATTTTACTAACCCACAAACAGTATAACAATATTATTTGAATGTAAAACAAACTAAATGAGAATAATAATACTGGGTGTTTCTTTTAACGCCCTACACTAGTTTACTCTTAAAATAATTACAAATTTTTAGTGTTTCTTTTTGAAAACATTTTTGTTTATGCTATATTACAATATTCAAATGTTTATCTTGTTTAGTATTTTCTGAAGCTTTATCAACTTTTGAAACTTAAATAGTAACGTACTCACTAAACCGCACTCCACCTCCCGTCTTAAATTTTAAACTTAAATAACTTGAAAAATAATTATTCAAAACTGGTTATCGACGAAAAATTTAATTAAATATATATACGTTACATATAACGTATATATACGTTACTATTTAAGTTTCAAAAGTTGATAAGGCTCAAGCAAATAATAATAAACAAGGTATAAATTTGACTATTGTCTAATAATGTACTAAATAACATGAATCAGATTGATTTTAAAAAGAAACACTACATAATTGTAGTTATTTTAAGAGTAAACTAGTGTAGGGCGTTAAAACAATCACCCTGTATGAAATATACAACTTAACACTTGTGATTGCATTACGCCCACTTATGTATTGTAATGCTGTTGTGTATCCACATTGTAATATGCGGCAAACGTTTAGTATCATTCTTAATTTTCGAACTAGCTTGAAAGTTTTTTTTTCATTTCATAATCAAGATTAAGATAATTTATTGCATCTCTAATTTGTCCGGAGTCATGTTGAATTATTGGTCGGTCGTCGTTTGGACGGTGACCGCGTCGGTACTGCAAGTGGACGCCAAGGACTGCGACGAGTTAGGGCCTATAGTGAACTATCAAACCGGCCGGCAAGTGCAAATGTGCAAGGCCATCAGGTACATAGCCAAGGACAGCGCATGGGACCGGTACAGCGAAGAGCACGTGATGATGGACGGCGAGTTGCACTACGCGAACGCGACGGTCAGATTGGCGGCCAGACCCCACGTGGTCGACGGCACGGTGATTACGACGGCGTACAACGTGGCCATGGCGGCGACCACGTGCAAGGCGTACAAGTACCTGTCGGCGCTGGCCAAAGCCGGACTGGAAATAACCAAGCGAGCGGGCGGCCTGGACGACGCGCCCTGGTACGTCACCCACAGGAGGTTTGGCATACAGGCCCTGGCCGGCCTGGCCAAGTTCCTCAACGCTTACTGCCTGTGGGCGAGTCCGATCGAGCCGTTCGGTTTGGTCGACTACCTGCGCAACGTCGTGCTGACAAACCTGGTGGACTTCGACGCGTACAAGACGGTCAAGTTCTTGACCAGAGCGCACGACAACTTTGACGCGGCGGTGAGAGTGATGTGTTCCGCGTCACAGGAATCGACGTCCGAGGCCACCACCACGTACGAACCGTATCGGACGTTGACGGGCCCTATTGACGCTACAAACCTCATGTCACTGTTGAAAGAACCAGGCCAATTGCCGGGCCTGGCGGATCTGCTGGAGTTGCAAGACGCAATCGTTACTGCCGGCATAGCAGACATCAGAGCCATTACCGTGGCTTGGAGATACGACACGCACGTCCATTGAACGAGTACAAACCTATTTCGCGCGGACGCGCCAAACGAGCGTTTACACCAATGTAAATAATATTTATCTTTACAGTTTTCGCGAGGGTGATTGTTTGATTTTGTCTTAGAAAATATGTACACGGCGGTCGTTTTGTGTTGTGTTATAATCACTAGCTGCTCATTTTCCTTAGGAATAAAAATATATCTACAACAAAATTGAATACTGTCTTGTTTAATAATGCCTATCATGTTCCTCTACCTATCATTACAGACTGTTTTGAACTATATTGTTTGCACTTGTTTGATAATGTATTACAAACCATAGGTTCGACGAGACAATAACAAACTATTAATTAAACAACCCAATAGTTTTCGCCTGGCAAATTGTTTCGAATTCATTTGGTTTGTTTCAGTTTCATTGTTTTGAAATCGCTTTTTTCAAACAACGCAAAAGATGCGTATTTAGCCGTTTAGGAAATAAAGTTCTTGAAAGTTCAAATTCTATAATGTTAATATTTGTGGCCACCACGGTACGAATATTCGGCATACCTACCGCACGTGTGCAGCTAGATACACACATATACCAAAACAAATATACGTTCTTAAACGAACATACATATTTTTAAAATTCTACACTGAATATAAAACAAACATCGAAAAAAACCCGATAACACGCAATTTGTATTCAAGTCAATAGATTTTTCAGCCACGTACTTAAACTAAAATGGCACAACCCGAGTAGTGGAAATACAAAAATAAGTACATCTTTTCTGTGTGTTGATTAGAGTTTTGTTTTTTATTTTCAAAGACGTGCTATTGTTGTAAAGTGATCGACGTCGAGAGTGAAATGTCTGTTAAAATATGTATTACGTTATGTTTACTATGTTATTTCCCAGTGGCCCGAGTGTATGGCTTCAGTGATGGTCAGGTAATGGATATTTGTCGTTAACTTTAATTTACAACGTGATTTACCTTGTTACAGGTCAATATTACATATTATCTACATAGTCGAACCGATGTGTCTTAAAGATTTTTTTCAACTGTTAAGAAGAAAAATAGACATATATCATCACAACAATATGTATGGTTTATGTTGATTAGCCAAGCAATATTGCGCATATAATAGAAATCATTGTTTTAGCGATTGATATCGCAGTAAGAATCATAGGCGCAATTTCAATTTTTAACTTTGGGGGCTGGACATTTTTTTTAAATTTATATATAAGTAAATATATTTTTGTATTTCTAAATTGTATGCATAACCCAATTTTTTGAGGAGGGGGCTAAGCCCACTCTAGCCCCCCCCGTATTTGCGCCTACGGTAAGAATATACAGTCTTAAGATTTGTTTACTTATGATTGATAAAATATTAGAATCATAGAAACTAGGTATAGTACATGTACAGCGCAGACCAAAAATTTGAAACAACATTTTTTAGTTAATAATTTATTTATTTTACGAAAACAGCTTACTTTGTTTACACATAGTTTTGGCGTGTGCGTTTTCTGGTTATTCTTAATGTATTTTATAGAAAAAAAAAATACGAAAAATAAGAAAATGTGTTTTTGGCCAAGTTTCAACGTTTAAGTACATTAACCACCTTTTTGTAATCGATTGACACAATATTACTTTAAATCTGGTTATAATAATAATATATAATATTTTTTTGCTATCTTAATATTGCGGTCCATAATAGTTATATGTATATTATTGTATCGCAATAGTTATCGTTGTAAATGTAATTATTGATTTTAAATGAAACGTTTCAGCTGGAAGCTTTTTTTGAATTGATCGACGTGAATAACCTAGGACGAATCTCCATAAACCAACTGCTCCAATTGCGTATAAACCCGTTATACGGTAAGACAACAAAACGTTAGAAGAAAAAACCGCTTATTATTATGTTAATCATTTTCCTTGGCAGGTGCGGTTCTAGGTCTGAAATTTCGTACGGGCAATTTGTTTATTCTTTATACAAAGTGTAGTCAAACATACAATTTTATAATAAACTATAGGTAGTGTAATGCACTATATTGTTATAGTTCATTTAACATTTTGGTACGGGCAGCTGCCCACCCTGTCCGTACGCTTGAACCGCCACTGTTTCTCGGGTCTGTCAAATTGTCACAACCGTTGTTTGTGTTGTGATTTTTAATCTAACACTAAACGTGTAATTTACGGTTTCCAGAGCGAGGACCGTCCATAAATGTCGACCAATTTAAAAAGCTAGTGCGCAGGCAAAATGCCGCGACACAAGAATCGTTATACGCCATGTTGGCACGTATCGCGGAAAACAACGAACGCTCGAACAACACAGGCGCGACTACAAACCGTCCATCGCCGGCACAGATGACCGGAAGTAGGAACTTATTGTTGGGCATGCACAGGCCGATAATACAGCAGGACAACGGCGATACAGCATCGACCGGTTGTTCGTCGTACGTCGATACGACTTTGAATTTGGGGCCACCAGAAGAAAACGTCAATACCGACTTGAGTTTAGCTCCCTCGTCGTCAACGCACAACGCCCACGACCCGGTCTTACCCGCCCCTACGCCCTCGGATCTTGCCGGCAAGAAAATAGGCGCAGAAGACTTGACTTTGACTTTGGCGTCTTCAGTGTACGTCCAGGACCTGGACGATGACGATGATACAGAACCAACAGAACCGATTTCAGCTACAACGTCGCACGGTCAGTTTGTCTTTAAACCCACAGACTTGAGTTTAGCGCCACAAGAACCCGCAGTGTCCACATGGTCGTCGCCATCACAGTCATCGTCAGAGTCACCGTCGTCAACATCACAATCGCCGCCGCCGTCGTCGTCGTCTGAAAAAGTTGCTAAACGTTTTAAAAGAAATTATTAATTGCTAATACGGTCTGGCAACCGTAGAGAGGTAATTTATACAAAATAAAAACATAGCTGCCGTACCTTTGTATCTTAATAAATGTATGATTTAACAGTGCTTTTCAAGTAAAATATACAACAATAATTGTCGTAACAGTAAATAGTAATACCCATTATTTTTGTGTATTTTTCATTGTCAACGAAAAACATTTGGATTGCTAATAAATGAAATCGATAATAATTTCCATAATGCCTTATATTATTTTCGAACGTACGATTAAGGTTAGTTATTCGATGAAAAATAATTCCCAAAATACTTGACGACAAGTGTTAACCAGGGAAAACATCCTAACAAACAATAAAATCCACTATAGTTTGAAATAAACGTACCAACACACATGTTGATCAGTATGTTGCTCTCTCGTTTGATTTTTAATGCCTTATCACTTTTACACATGTATAGAGTATCAAGAATATTTTGATAATTTTAAAAGTATCAAGTCGAAACAATAATAAGTATAAAAATGTAATTAGTTGCTAGAAATAAGTAAATTAATGTTCAAAATAATACATTTTGTCAACAACATTTTTATTTTAGTACTATTCAATAGTGTATCAACTAGTCGAACTTTTTTTTATCAAAGTAGTATTGACACTTGGATATAACTTCCGGTATATGCGTTTAATACTTAGTACATTCAGTACTTCCTCGGGTAAAAAAATAAAACGAATATGATATGTATTATTGTATTTCTAACTCTGTAGTCGGTGTACATACATTGCATCTGTTAGGGTCTATCAATCAACCGGTCGGTCACGACGTAACCGTGCACGTTTTTTAAGTATAAAAATAATAATAATTACAATAATGTCGTGTCTTGCGGCAGACAGCTCCGCAGGGATTCCGAACAATAATAATATACCGTCGTTGGCCAATATAATGGTAATAAAATCACTCTCATTTCATCCTCCGCCTTCCTCTGCCGTAGACACACACACACACACACAAACCGTATAAAAGCTTATAGTTTGGCAAAAAAATTAATTATGAATAATGGACCGTCCGGAAAGGGTAGTCATAATATTTTCATTGGACCGGTATCCGGGGGGGGGGGGGGCAAGCAAAACAGAGGGGTAGGCAGATATGAAGGGTGTGGCCGCCGCGTTACCCTCCCCGCTGCGATTTAAGTCTCTCGGCGGCGGCGCGCATTCATCCCTATCGTGCGCGTACAGGGTAGTTGTCAAAGGGAGCGTGGAGATGAACGGCGGGGATAGGGGAGGGGCGGCCGAGTGAAACACACCCCCCCCCCTCTCTGCGGCACGGCAAGGGCCGCTATCGATTCCCCTTGTGCACCGGCGTGGGCAAGTAGCGGTGGTGGTGGTGCAACCCTACAGTTGTGCTTGGCTACAACGGCCCTCTTTGCGTGGCCGCCGGTTTCGCTTTTAGTGTAACCCCAACGGTGGCCAGACCAACACACCGCTGGACACTGTAGTAGCTGCTCGTCTCCGGCTTGTGTCAAGTCCGGTTAGGTCGATCGTCGCGGCGGCACAAGTAAGCGTTATTACTTGCTTAGTATGCAATTTTCTCCAACCCCCGTTATTTCTCTGTTAACAAAACAAGTTTAAACAAATAAAAAACTGACGAATCGACACTCAAAATTCGAACTACCTACCGGCAACTATCGTTTGTAAAAATTACAGTTTAACGTTTCGCTTCCACCAGTATAATACCACTATAATACAGTTTCTTTTTTTATAACTTTAAAAAATATCTTTGTGAATAAAAATCGCCAAAGCTCATCGAGAGGTGTTGGAAAAATTGATCGTTGTACATCGAAGTATATTGTTTAATTTTTTTTTTTTTTTTTTAGGTATATTAACGCTGTTGTTCGACTGTTCCGAATTGGCCAATGTGATGGACAAGTGTCGTGTACAATAGTAATTAGATGGACACACTGTGGTCAGTGCGGGACCTATGACGTCACACCGAAAGCTGCCGCCAAAGGTAAAAACGACAAATGACTTATATAATTTATAAGTAGAGGAGGGATCTAAATTGGACGCGGACACGTACTCGTGGCCACCTGTTTTTCTGTGTGACGGTAAAGTGGTGCCGCCGGTAAATTAGCTTAATGAAAAAGTCTTGTTACATTTTCCCTCCCCGTTTCGTTGGCCATCGTGTCACACCCTTTTTTTTTTTTACCTTTACATTATTTATATTGGTTTTCACTATCGCGTATAATAAACACAATGGCCAATGGGCGTCGACTAGACAGCTATTAGAGTACGCTATCATCATCAGAATATTGTTTTATAACATTACCGCACTCTGTCGCTGGTAATACTCCTCGTGCGATTATGGAAAACTACATTTTTTTTTTTTTTATGTTGGTTTGGGTTTTACAAATCTGTACAATGCGGGTAACCGCAGTAAAGTTTTATTATTTTCGTCCGGCGTTAGCTGTGTAAGTATAATATAAACGATCGAGTACAGCGTTCGATAAACTCGGCGTAACGTGTACGACGTTGATAGGTTAAACTTTTGCTATCAAACAGCTATTAAGTTTTCTTGAGATAAAAATAAAAAACCAACAAACAGAAAACAACGCAGTGCTCCTTTGTGGGGCCAACACCAATCAACGTTTAATCGCGGCTTACCTGTATCGATACCAAGTAGTGTATACCAGGACGGGAATATAGGTGTTGCGAAAAATAAAGTGGTTTGTCAATGCGAAAATACTGTGCTAACCGATCATATTCCCGGTGGGAGGTAAAACTTTTTCTCTGTAGTATTTCTCTTTTTTTGACAGACCACAGACAAGAAGAAGGGAGAGGGGCCGGAAGCGAGGTTAACAACCCCGTGGATTGAAAGAGCGGATGTAGAAAAAAATAAATACCTAATACCCCTAAGGGGAGGGGGTGACGATTGCAGGTTAGTTTTGTACTACTCGAAGGTTTTCTTCCCCTCGAGTAAAAGCGCGTGTATACAGAGTGTGTGTGTGTGTGTGTGCTTGGAGGTTTGCGAAGAGGGTGATCTCTATCGCCGGCATCTGGCCCCGTCTGTATACACATCATACATATATATGTACAATGTGTAGGGAAATCCATTTGCAAGCGGAGGGACGGCCAGCGACCGCGGCGTTGGTTGTCGTGGCGACCGGCCGAGACGCTTGCGCGCCTTCCACTCTGCGCGTGCGGCCACCCACCCCTCGAATCGGCCGGCTCCGTTCGACACGGTTTGGGGGGTCAATGCCACGCCACGAAAAGGGTCAGCTGTTTTTCTTTTTTTTCGCTAAAAGGCCGATAAGATGCCGGCCGCCAATTCGGCACGCCTGGCCTAAATCATCTTTACACATTCTGTTTTTCACAAGAAATGTATTCGGATAACCGAAAAAAAAAAATAGTTATCGATCGGTCGTTGTTTTCGTTACATAATAATTGTGTGCTGTGTGTACATAGGTTGATGTTTGACATTTAAACAATACATTGTTACCTTTGTTTATTCAATATAATAGGATTTTATTTCAACCTTAACCTTTGTTTTTAACTAAAACATATATATATATATATATGAACGACCCTATGTATAATTGCTGTGCAAATATCCAAAAAAAAAACAGTTTTCTATATTTTAAAACATTAATTTAAAGTGATTTATTTAAAAGTTAAAATTTTTATTTTTATACACCAATAAAAGAAAAAATATAAAGTTCTTAGACTTTGAACGACAAAATATATAACTAAACGATTACTTATTTTGTATTGATTGGCATGACACCTTATAAAACTATATAATAAAATAATATATGTATCATTTTTCTATCCGTCTCGCATCGAGGATAAAAAGGTCAATTTTAATACCGATAAGAAGATTACATTTTTACATAATATATGTACCTAACATTTTAATGCTATTATGACATCATTCTGGCAAAATAATTGATAAATATGTGACTTTTCAATTTTGCTTGTACCTACTTTTTGCTTGAAAGTTAAAATTAATTTTTTTCCCTGGGTTTTATAGAAGTAAATCCCTTAAGACCTTTGCACAAGCCCGTTACTTGTATCCAATATTATGCTTTACGGATCTTTCAATCGTATTATGATGATGTACTGGCGTCGACAGCATTCGTATATACGTTATTATAAAGGCTCAACGTTTTCCCCTAAATAATTTCATTTGCATTTAACTGGCGTGCGTTTGGATTTGCACGTCTTGGCTTCGTGTGCGGTTCTTTTGAAAAAAACGTCATCTACGCTTGCCAATGTTGTTTTCGACTTATTATCCATTCTGTTTCCAAAATGAATTATGTATTAAATGGCAAAGCCGATCCCGCAGGGGTTTCGTAGCTGTCTATATATATATATATATTATGTAAGTTCGTGAACCCCACGACTACCGTTAAACTAAGTACTGTACGCATATTAACTATACACACCGTCAGACACTACCCAGAGAAAAGCTTTTTGGCAGTAGGTATAACACGCTATGGTTATTCGCACCGACACTGACTTTCTCTTTGTACAATAATTATAAAAGGACCGAAAAAGTTGTAACTCCAATTGGGCAGATTTAAAAACCAAAAGGTGCCCCACCGGTTTTTGCTAATCTTTCACTATATTTCGTGGAAAATCTTTTTGCTATTTGTACCTATACTACTTATGATTGAACAGCGTTATATATGTAAAAACCAATACAATATTCGATTCATCCAGGTTTTTTTTTCAACAGACAAAAACAATCAACATCAATTAAAAATAATACATTGATAGTATAAATTTAAAATACGCGCATATTTATCTCAAGACCAACGCAATAATTGTTCAGTTTATTTATTTCAAAAACACAATACATTATTATTATGTAATGTAAAAATACTGTATCGCTCTTCTTTCTTGCATATCCAATTGGGGTTCTGAAAGAAATAAAACCGTTTAAACAATGTTAGGGTAGGTATACATATTACTATATCTTCAATGTCTATGTATCCGTAGTATAGATTGGTTACGGCTAAAAAATCATCATTGTCGGCTAAGCCAAGCTAAGTCTATATTATATTAGTATAGGCTACCAGTTAGCATAGAGGTATATTGAAAGAACTCGAGTTATGACTAACGAAATAGATTTCATTTATAATCATATAATGAAGAATGTCTGTATAGTAGTAGTAGGTAGTGTGAATGCAATAGATAATGCGGAAATCTGTATTATATTTTTTTGGTGACTTACCATCATCAGACTACATGTAGACTACGGTTGAAATATACACACACATATTATAAAGATAAGCTACTCATTATCTCGTACGACAATCCAAATAGTAATATATAATATAGGAAAGTATATATATTGTTATGCGACAATACTTGTTGACGTATATGTATTGCGTGATTAGTATAAAGACATACAGTTAAGACATGATCTAATATCGAAGAGGACAATATACCTATGTAGTTAACAATATGTTGTTAATAATTATAATACCAACCATACGGACGAGTACGTCGTAATCAAATATGTAAATAATAAAAAAAAAAAAACACAAATATTACTTTTTGTTAATTTTTTTTTTTTTTATGGAGCAAAAATTGTATGTTGAAGTAACTTTTATACCTATATCTAACAGATCGAAACAAATAAGTAAACAACAAATTATAATAATAGTAATAATATATTAAACGGGTACCTACACAATTTTAATCATATTAAATAGTGATAGAAAAAATAATAATAATACAAACTCTAAACTCGGTCTACGGTTAATACAATACACCTAATTAACTAAGTTTTGGTCTATGTTATATTTGTTATTGTATTTAATTAATACAGTATACGACTAATCAAACGTGACTAGACCTAATATCATGTGAAGAAAATGTTGTACACAAAATTTACACGTCACATAATGTAGTATCATAGTAAATTGAATATCGTTAAACAAAAAATAACATTATGTGGGTTTACACAATAATAATAATAATAATAATTAATCAATTAATACATAAGAACAGTCGTGGTTTAAGGTACTACTCGTATACTTTGTCTAAATCAATATGGATTTGATATATATATATATATTACTACAAAGGAAGACGCTTATTATTAAACAACAATTATTTGATTTAAGTGATTACATATTATTTTTATGATATCGTTTACACCCACACATATCTTAAGTACTTAGGTGTGGATGTATAAATATATATATATATATATATATATCAAATTAAATCCGTAAAATGATTAATAAAATACATAAAAAATATTTTACTGATTAAAAATAAGACTAGATTATTAAAAAAACAAAAAAAAAGACGACTAGTACAAGGTTGTAATATCACAAATTTTACAAAATATTATATTAAAGATCATAATCGAAAAGTTTATAAAGTCTATAAATGTACGTCAAATGTCAATAATATGTTAATTTACAAATTACAATTCGTATTATTACCGCGTTTGACACATATATACATACATAAAACGTATCGAACACTATATAACATATGATAACAATATATAAATATATATTATATATTGTTATGTACCTACTTGATATTTGAAAAAAATTACCAAATTACTATTATCGATTGGAAAACGAAATCGTTATTTTTGTGTTTATACAAAAATATCTAAAATATAACAGCTGATATTGTGACTACTTTCCGTCCATTGCAATAATTTTTGGTAAGTAATACAATATACAAATATCAATTAATGTAATAATAATAATAATGATTAATGATAAATATATCAATATATAATAATATTTAAACGTACACGCTAATAATTACACACGAATCATATTATTATGTGATAGTATACTTGCACTAAATTAACAATAATAATAATAATATGATATATTTTTGGTTTTTGATAATAAAATTACAATTATATACCTCTAAATTTTCATTGGTATTTCGGTTACAAGTCACAAATACTATACAGTTGTTACAAAAATTAAAAAATATTATTACTCAAGTATGTATACAAATATACTCAACAAATATATATATATATAATTATTAAAACGCTAACCTAATCTAGTTGAGCAATAATATTATATTATGTAAAAAATACTATCATGATTATTTTGGTTTTTTTTTTCTACTATTCGAAAAGGTAGAATAGTAAAATTGTAATAAAGGAAGAACAGGTTTTAGCCGATGTAAAAAAAAGGAAAACAAAATAACAATACTGTATTTGTCAGATTGGGACCAGGAGAGTGGACGATTTTTTTTTTTTTTTAAATCAACTAAATAGGTAATAATTTACTGTATAAAAAAATTATAGCGCTTAACTCTAATAGACCCGTGTTAGACTAACTATACAGATAACGTGGTGTTACTATTATTATTATTATTGTTGAAAAAGAAATTACAATGAAGGTTTAGCAGGTGGTGTATTAAACCACCCCATCAATACACACAAACAAATATCGATTAATTGGTCTACTTAACTTCTACTGTTTTCACAAGTACATATACATGCAATAATATAAGTAAAATCAGCAGCAACTACACGACGGCTTAATAATACCGGAGTTGGGCACAATTGAATTGAACATACAATAATGTTCCAAACGACATTAATCCGAATATAGACGGTTAGAGGTATAGAAATGGATTCATCAATCCGATCAAGACCAACTCCGATACTATTGTCGTTCGAGCTAAGATCCGACCTTAAACTACAATATTAATTAATAATTTAAGTATGGATATAGTATTTTTGACCCAAATGAGATGGTCGTACCGGCGATCACACATTATCTCTCTCTCTCTCTCTGTGTGTGTGTGTTACAATAGAACGGTGTTGCCCTGACCTGTTGAAAGCAAAATTAAGTACATTAAACAAACCACATACATCATAGAATAACGATGATTTATTTTTTATCCACCGTCACTTACCGGTCAAGCGTGTTTTGTATTGAATAATAATATGTTCTATACACACTATTATAAGAAGAATGCCTAATTATGAAAAAAAAAAAAAATGTTAATCCGTTTTCTGTTCTACAGGTATAATACAATACAACACACTTCTAACTGGAACCGTACTTAGAGAACCCAACAAGAAACCACAAGACCCGCAAGCCATAATCAGCAACACTGCCGACCCAAAGTTCATACATACATATATAATATTATGTTATATATTCATTCGTTGCATATATATTATATTATATAAATTCTACCGTTACCAATTACCCAGCGTTTTACAATTCACACAGAGTGAGTAAACTATACATATACATACATATATAGTACACCTTATACGTTATTTTTTTCCTAACCTAACGTTGGCTAAGAAAAAAACTAGTAGTTAGCTGGTAGTAAGGTGTGTTTGTAGGCCGTTTTGCAATATTATAGTATAATATATTGGCGGTTAGTAATATAACAACAGTATTAACTACATCAAACAACAACAACAACAACAACAGCAGCGGCAACGGTTAAAAAAAGGGTTAATGTAAATACACACAAATTATCAAGTAAATAATAATAATCAGACAAGATAAGATATAGACGTACTCCTCTACGGTATACTTTGGCTAGACAAATAAAATGTGCACCAATACTGTAAAACAATAGAATTTCCAATAATAGCTGTTAACCAGCTAATCTAACCCGTCCACAGTAAACAGTGTGTGGGCCGGACACTTTTTTATTATAAGATCAGCCGCTGCCTTCTTAATCTTACTCATGCAAAAACCGACGGTGTGCTCTAAAAATATAAATGACAGATGAAACGGTTATTATGTATGGGTGAGAGAGAGCGTTTCGACTTTTACCCAAGTCCAAGTAATTGTTATATGCCAGCTTAACGACCACATTGTCCGGTGCTAGGGGGTTAAGAGAGATCGGTGACCGTTGTAGTAGCGGCGGAATGAGGAACAACGGCGGGATTGTGGACATAATAATGAATTTTCAAGTTTATAAGCGTCTCTCTTGGTATTATTAAGATATTCTATAAATATGATAATAATAATAATACAGTAAAAAGCGATCCGGATGGATTTCTACAGACAAAATAACTACTTGTATATATTTTTTTTTTATTTCTGTTTTTCATTTATAATATTTTAAACAACACAGCGTTTTTAAATTTTTTTTTTTTTCAATTAAACATTAAACTACTAGAGTGCGTAAAGTACTAAATAATTATTAATAATAATGATAAAAAAAAAAATCGTATGTAAATAATAAAAAGAAACGAAGGATTCACGACGTAGGTAATAATCTAAATACTACTTGTTAATTATTGACTTTTTTCATAATGTATAATAATATATACCTACGTATAGTATACTACATACACAAATAGTAGAGAATGTCTACACAATAACTAAATAAATCAATTACAAAAAAAAAAAAAAAAATGTTCAAAAGTGTACACTTAAATACTTCTTAAAGCTATATTATTATGTTTTCTCTATATTTTTCCTTTTTTTTTTTTTTTTTTTTTTTAATGATAAATTTATATAGTAGTTAATATTACTCTACAAAAATGTATTCTAAACTAAAAAATACTGTTAAAATACACACCAAAGTCTAAAAAATATGACATCGACATTAAAAAATATACATCTAATACAGGTAGTTGTAATTTAAGTACTAGTGAAAAACAAAATAGTTAAATCTAAAGAACTAGGATACACGAGATATTAGTAAAATATAACGCCGGAGTAAGTAAAAGCATTGCTAACCCTCTTTCGTATTATAAATACGCATAATAATACAAATATATTATTATTACAAATAATAATATATAATATAATATTAATAATATGTGCGAGTTTCATAATTATTATTTTTAAATTTTTTTATTATTATTTAACTCTCAAAATATTACAAAAATAGAGGGCTTACCAACTATCAAAACTAGACTAAGAAAAATTAAGATTAAAAAAAAAATAATTAATTAATAATAATAGTAAACAAAGAGATCAATAACCTTTTAAGTATTATTGCTTTACATACATAATAATGATAATAATAAAGTAATGTTTTCTAATTAGTATTGTCCAGTCGAATCAGTGCTTTTCGTAAATTTTTTTTTACTTGTTTTACATTAATTCTAACAACTAAAAAATAACTATTTATATTATGATACGCACCGAAAAACTAAAATATTATGTTTGTTTGTTTATTATAAAGTTTTTTTTTTTTTTTAAATATTAGTACTATTAAATACAGAAATATATATACATGTATATATATTTCTGGGCTCGCTTAGTGTCTAACTAAATACTATTACATCGAACTCGAATGAGATTACCAATTATTACAACGTAAGAGACACGAATGAAAACAATCTAAGATCTATGGCCGATGGCTAAGAAGTATTTAAAAAAAAAAAAAAAAAACATAGTACAATAAATTATTGAACATTTGTATGCAAGTACATAAACAAGCAGAATATTAGTGAGAGGAGAGAAAGATATGCGATTAACAAAAAAATATTACACACTAAAGAGCTGTAATCGCGTTGAAGAAAATTTGTGTTAACCATTTAAGTTGTGTGGCCACTACTGAATAATATTATAATATAATATAACAACGAATTGTTATTATTACATCGAACGAGTTGCATACAACGAAGTTTGTGTTAAGCGTTTCAAAAATAATACAAAGCAAAACATATAGATGATAATATAACACTGCAGAAATATGTTTGCGTTACGCGCGTTTAGAGAGAAGAAATAGCAGTTAAAAAGAGTGAGCGGCGAGTGAGAATGAAAGAAAGAGAAAACCAATTTATCAGGTGTTAATTTATAACGGAAAATAATATATGATAAAATTATCAAGACGAACGCACAGTTTTTTTTTTGTATATGAGCTTTGGTCCTTAATGGAATGTATTTTCTCTACTGATCATTTGGAATTTGTTTTTAGACAAACAATACATGAAAACTAATACAATAACACGACGTTGATTAAGACACTAATCACACTACTATTTAGAAAATCGAAAAATATTTTTTATAATTAATAGTAATTGAAAAAGAAAAAAAAAAAGTAATACACATTAGTTATAATATAATAATAATAATAATAATAAAAATAACTGACTAGAAATCGTTCGTTTTCTATATCCAATGAAAATATAACTCACGACAATGAGGCAGTGGTATGGCACACGCGCGGATTGATCTCCAAAGAATCTGTGTGGCTGTCAGCCCGTCGATTTGTGAAAAAATAAACAACAAAAAAAAGTGTATAATAATAATAATAATAATAAATATGATGATAAGCCGTTTATTGGATAGTTTGTTTCGTTGCTATGTTTTTTAAGTAGTCGGTAGCATTTTTTTTTTGTATGTATGTATGTCGAATTTAAAAAAATAATTTCAATGATAGAATGTATCTGAGCAAAAAGAATGTTTATTCGCAATTGAAATTGACCTGACCAACACGTCTAAACGTACATGCCGCCCATACCGTACATGGACGACCAGTCGATGCCTTGGAAGCCACTCATGTCGATGCCGGAAAGACTGTAGGCCGGGTACGCGGCTTGAGTGGCCGCGGCGGCTGCGGCGGCTTGCACCGGTTGAGCGGCGGCGGCTGCCTGCGGTGCCGCCGCTGCGGTCACCGGCACGGGGTACGGCGAGTAACGGTAGCTGGCCAATCCCGGGTACGTGGCGAACAGCTTGTTGTAATTGTGAGCGGCCACTGCGGCCGCGGCGGCTTGAGCTTGAGCCTGCGCCTGGGCCTGGGCCTGTTGCACGGCGGCCAACTGATGTGTGGCCTGCGACACGGGCGACGCAGCCACGCGGACGCCCAACGGGCCTCCTACCAGCACCGGGCGCTTGCCCAACAACAAACCCGCCGCTGCGGCGGCCGCCGGTTGAACGAGCTCCTTTGGCTGCGCCTTCTTGCACTCGACCTTCTTGTTCTTGATGGTGTGGAAGTGTATCTCGCAAATGGTGTCAACAATATCGTCGTTCTCGAACGTCACGAACCCGAAGCCGCGGTGACGCTTAGTGTGCTGGTCCATGAGCATCACCGTTTCTTCTACCTTGCCAAACTGGCTGAAGTAAGCCTTCACCTCTTCAGCAGTGGTGTCTTGGCTGACGCCGCCCACGAATATCTTTTTGGTCTTGCTGCCGGCCTTTGGACGATTCTTGGGCGTCGCGTGCTTCGGGTCGATTTTCTTGCCGTCCAACGTGTGAATGGGCACGGCCAACACTTTCTCTACAGTCTCGGCGTCCGAAAACGTGATGAATCCAAAACCGCGACTCCTCTGTAAAAAAAAAAAAAAAAGGGCCACAAATTAATTGAAATCTTCGTAACGAATTCCGAGGACGACGATCGTTACCTGTGTGATGGGGTCCTTCATGATGAGTACGTTGGTAACGTCTCCGAACATGCCGAAATACTGTTTGAGCTTGTCGGCGGACGTTTGCCAGCTTAGGCCGCCCACGAATAGTTTGGCCGACGTGCCCTCGGTGCTGCTGTTGGGCGTCGATCGGCCGCTGGGCGAAGGAGCCGACGAAGACTCCATACCGTTTTGTTTGTTGCCGTTGTTGTTGTTGATCTGTGCCTGTTGTTGGTGTTGGGACGCCGCGGCTGCCGCGGCGGCGGCCACGGCCGCAGCGTTTTCTTGCGACGAGTTCGCGCCGTTGTGTAACGGCGAACCGGCCTTGACCGTCACCGCGGCGGCCGGTTGGGGCTGAGCGATTTTCACGAGACCCGCCGGCGGACCGCGGACGGACTGATGGTGCGGGTGCAAGGCCAACGGCATGGCTGTGGTGGCCATGGCGGCCATGGGTTGTGGCAGGCCCATGCCACCGGCGGCTAGCATGCCGCTGAAATCAGCCGCGTGCTCGGCCAGTGTAGCCATTGGATCCACTCCCAAACTAAACAAAAAAAAACAAAAACATGTATTTATTTTATTAACAATAATAATTATATTATGTTTTTTAAAAAAATGATAACGTTTATTTTTGTAATGTTTCTACAGGTTACGGGTACAACAACAACATGACCGCCGAGTACACGGCGTTCGCCCAACACTACTCTGGCCAAACATACATATTAATTCAAATGTTCAAAACGACTACTGGTACACTGTGTAAGCGATGCTCGGGCAAGTAAGTAGTCCTAGTGTACGATTAGAATATATTATAATAAAACAATATTGACTATTTTTTTTTTTTTTTTACAGAAGACGAGGCGAACAGGGCGTTGGCAAAACGAGACTAATTAAAAACTGGATGTCGCTCCGATATTGTCCTGTCACAGCAGTAATGTCATGTTGTTTTTCAATCGTACTGCTGTCGCGGGACATTTACGGAGCTGTCGTTCGACTACGTTTTGATTTTCTCCGGTTTAACGTCAGAATCTAATTTGGACTCGCACACACATACCACCGTCGCCGCCATAGTTCTATAATGTACTTGTTTAATGTAATGTTATTGTAATATTGTATCATTACACTGTTAATTAGTTAAGACAAATCGTTTTAATTGTATAAAACACAAGTAAGAAGTGTACATCTGTTTACATAGAAAATATCACCTCACACGTTGTAAAGACCGGTTTCAAAAGTTATTTCGTTTATTTTTTAATTCTTGAATTCGTTTTCAATCGATTTCTATTTTACTTATTAACCAACAGACAAAATTACCGCTGAAAAGACATTAAAAATACACTAATAATATTTTAAATAAAATTAATTTTCCATGCTATACTTGCGACTATGTTGATTTTAATCGTTTAAATCAATTATGATTTGATAGTTTCAAATCGCACTTTCGATAGAGAAATCAATTATAAACATATCTATTTTTGACGGTTATTATGTAAACGATAATATTATATACACGACGGTTGTTAGTAAAAAAAAAAAATATAGTAAACTAAATATCCGCGTGTGTGATCTATCTTCTGTTGTGTCTAACGAGTGTGTTCAAAAATACATACAACACACGACCTTTAGTGCAGGGACTTGATCATCTGAAAAATGACAGTGTTTATGTTTACAGTATTTATAAACTACATAGTGCTACGTGACGCCAGTTTTTATTTATAAATTGCCCAAATTGACTGAACGCAAACCGTCTACAGAGCACCGCACTTGATATTGTACACCTTAAGGCCAACAAAATATATCTAGGGCGAACGAATAAAAATGTCCACACATAAATCATGTTCACTAAAAAATATGACCAAAATAATTAATAGGTCGACGACTTAGTCAAAGTACACGCGTTCATTATATTTGTACAAGTCTCTTCCGTGTGGATTTGGCCTAAGTATAGAAATATTGTAAAATTGTAACAGGAAATAAACCTCGAAAAAATGTAACTTGTCAAACCGATCGAACCGATGTTGTAAAGTGGTAATTTTTAAAATGTTTCCTATGTTAAGAACTTAAGATAAACAGAATATTCAGATGTAGTCAGATAGGGTACAACACAAGAAATATCTGTTTATTTGTCACACATAAGTTAAAACAAAACACTACATCATAAAAAAAATATGTATTTTTATAGTATAGCGAAGCGGCATTATGTTTATTTAATATTATTATTTTTTTTTCATTGATGTGATTAATGTCTTGACCCAAATGCTAATGAATTTTTTAACGTTTTTTACTTTTGTTTTATATTTTGGTAGCCTTCCAATGATTATAAAAAAAAAGAACCGCGGTATAAAATAATTTATTAAGGTTTATTTTTTTTTTTTGTTCCAAAAACAAAATCGCCGTAAAATAAATTGCATAAAAATACATAACGGGTCCAAATTAGATAGAATGTATAAAGTTAATGTACATGTGCATTATTTTTTTATATATTATTATACGAGTAAAGGGGATGTTTTAATCGAGTCCTGGATTCCCTCATGCACCCATTAAAAAATATATACAATAACGACATTGAAATATTACAAAAAGGTCACCGTTGTGTTCAGTTAAACCTTATATATTATTATGTACACATACGGCAAATATTTATTTTATTTTTTTACATTGTTCTCGCGGTTAGAAACAGAAATGTTCTAAAAAAAAAAATGTGTTTTTTTTTCAACTTGTCCAGTTATTAAACGAAAATTCCAGTTACCGTTTGCTTAAAATATTTTACATTTTCAAATGTTACAACGTTACAACTAACAGCTGTTTATGTAAACGGTAATTCGGACAAGGTGTACTAGAAAAAGTGTAAAGCCAATATACTTGAAACGATTACAAAATTTGACCTCTAAACACATTCAGGAAAACTTGGCCGGGACACACACGGTTTGTTGGAAACAATTTTTGTCGGTGAACGATTTATTTTTAACGTTAGAAAAAAACTGTCAAAAGTCTGTTTGAAATGTGTTAACTGACGCACCGTGTACTCTCTTGTACATATGTTTTTATGTCACAAATACTAACGGTCTAATAATTCATCACACATCTTGTAGTCGTTACACAAATCAGGACTCGAGTGGTTAAGGGACACTAAAGTACCAAAGTGTGTAGTAAACCATTTTAAAAGTTTTTTTTGTTTTGACATGTCAATATTATATTATGCCAATATAATTCCACAGTGGAAATTAAGTGGCATAGATCTATAAACAATACTAGCCAACTAGTCGAATAATTTTAAACGCGTTTTGTTTTTGATCAAAAGTTGTCCTTTATGCAAATCACTTCTAGAATTGTGTATAAATAAATTTAAATATAGGTTTCAAACGATTTTTTTTTTGCCTACTGAATTCAGGTCTGGTCTCCTCGTATAACTACCATAACCTATTATAAGGTGAAAGAAAATAATATGTTTATTCTGATTTCTAACCGTTACCACCTATTTGAGTAAATAACCAATATTTATACGGATGTAAAAAAAAAAAAAAATCGAAATACATTCACACAAAAATCGTCGGTAGTGTATCCAGTTTCTATTTTCAACTTAAACAGGTTTAAAACTGTGAAATGTCAACTATTAGTCTTTATATACATTATAGATGCACAACTTCACTCGAATCAGTTATGTCAACTGCTATCCTTCACACGAATCAGTTATATCAACTGCTATCTATTGCAGCACAGCTTGTTAATATAATAACGAGTCAACTTCTCACATAACCGATTTAGACATCTCAACATTTGGGGGGGGGGGGGAGGGAGAAGAGGTGACATGGCCCATAGGCAATTTTTATTTAAATAACAAACAACGAATTATTCAACATACATTTCTAACTGGGCATCGAATTGTTTTTTTTTAAATTAGAATAAATGTCTAATAATAATTTTTCAATAATAAATGATTTCCTAAATAATTTGTAATTGAAAATTTCAAATGCTAATTTATTAAAAGTACCATTTTTTTCTTAATTTTGAATTTCATCATATATAAAAACATTATTTACATTTTTTTCCAGTGTATATTTATTTAATATACACATGGGGGGTCTGGGGGTCGAAATGGGGTGAGTAACTTTCTCCCCTTCCCTATTTTAACTAGTTTCGCTCTTTACTCTGGTCGATCACTAGACAGTTAGTTGCATTAGTATCGTTGCCAAAGAACTGGATTGGAAACGAAATAAACGACATTTGACCTGACCGGCTCTTTTACACACGGTCTACTAGTGTAGAAGAGAGGCTTTTTTTTTGTAAAAATAATCACGTACCACGGACACGACAACCGGTAAATTGGTCGACGTCCGTGTCAATCAACTGACTTATAGATAGTACCCCAGAGGCTATCTCAGATGTACATGTAGACATAACTATTTTATATTATATTATGACACTGTCACGAACCTAGGCAAGCACAGCCACCCACGTCCCGGTCGACTGCAAAATATCCGCATTGTGTAAAATGTGCATCGTTAGACCCGCCTGCCCCTCCTTTTTCCCTCGCATGAAAAGCGCATCGTTTTTCTTGGGACGTCGACGAAGGGGAAAAAACCGCCGCCTTGCGAATAATAACAATAGATAAAAATAATACGTATAAATTATTATTATAAAAAGAAACGAAGCGTTTTTAAAAACAAAAAAAAAAAATGCTTATACATAATGACGCGATGACGGAAAGGCTCGCTTTAAGTTAAAAATTGATTTCCCCTCGCGTCCGGTCGTCGAGTGTGCCGGCACAACTTTTTTCGACGACAGTGCCTTTGTATATTATGAAACGTGCACAAAAAAAAAAATGCTGACTAAAAGTCGTTGAAAAAAAAAAATACCCTCACCTAACCTTTGTGTGTAAAGAGAGGAGACACGTGCGCCGCGATGGAATAATAAACCTATTGAAAAGTCGCTGACAGACGACTTCTTCTTCGGAGACTGATTGGACGGTGTTGTTATCAATGACCCGATCACTATGATAAGTATTATATCGTATAGTATATGTGTTGAAGGCTGAAGCACAAAAAAAAAATTGGAAGAGGTCGTGTACAAGCGGATTGATCGTCGACTCCCCCCTTAAGCTTCGGATAAGTGATGATACCCGTGTATAAAATACAATATTGAGTGTATCGAAGAGCGGTCCATACCGATTGTTCTATACTAATTCTTTTGTACTATGTTCGGGTACGTACTACAGAGTGACAATTTCGGACGAACAATGATGTAGAAGAAAATATACAATAATTATTCTACGGCCACATGGCCGGGGGCCTCGGGTATGGCGACAAGAGACAAAAAAAAAAAGTAGATAAGAACGCCGTCGAGAGGAATAAAAATAACAACGACGGTCCCAAGAAGAGTACCAGAGTAAAAAAACAAACATATACAACAATATCTAGTTACCACAAGCCAAATTTCTATCGCTTGTACGAAATTAAATTGACCGTTTGAAAAAAAAAACCAAATCGAAACGTTTTGGATGATAAACAGCCGTTCCGGGGCAGTGTAAACGCGGATAAAAATAGAGGTTTGTTCGACTTGAAAATATTATATACATTCAAACGAACGCGTCGGTGTTTGAGATGAAAACCACATACTTAAGATTCGGCGCGGCAGTCCAAGTGTATTCTGTTTTCAACGGTAGAAAATCCAAAGCGCCGAGAGATAAGGTGTGCTCTGTGTTCAAGTTGTTGTTGTGGTTGTTGAGTTCCATTTTGAGAATATTCGATAGGTAATTCGAGTTGCTTTCCATAATGTACGATAAAAGATTAAATTAAACAATTTCGTTAACACACCGACCGACAGAGTTAGACTTGGATTTTTCAATTGTTTTTGAACGAAAGGTTCAAAACAGACTATCAGACCGCGGCTGATACTGAACGAGGTCGGGCCCTCGGCTGCCGGCGTCCGTTGGAGAAAAAGTCACCGATGACCGTTTGCGCGTCGTGGAAAACCATCGATGGATGATGGCGGCGGCGACTTTATCGTGCAACGTTTTTGGCGGCAAATTTAAAATCTCGACTACACAAGATTTTACATAGCTCAATGCGCGTCCTACACAAAAGTCGCCACGATAACGTACTGCGGGTGTATCGAACAATATATATTTCACACAGTTGAATTGAATGAGTTTTAAAATTTTTTTTTTTATTTACGAGCCCAAGGCGGAATTGACAGTTTTGTTTTGTTTCCTCCCGGCCGACACTTGGCGACGGTACAATGACGGCACGCCGATTGGTCCGACACACAATGCTTCTTCATTCTGGATTGACCGTGCAATCTAATTATTGCTCCTTCATAAAATATTATTG